GTGATTGTGCCATGGGGCAAGCTCTTCTCCCATTGGTGAGCTTTGTCAGCTAGAGACATAGGAAAGAGTCTCAGCTTGATGGCATCTTCAGAGACACCATTGATCTTTGTCAAATCACAAAGCCTATCAAACTCATCAAGGTGGTCAATGGGGTCTTCACTTGGCAATCCATGGAACATCTTGTTCTGGACAAGGTTGATCATTCCCAGCTTGATCTCAAAGTTGTGGTTCTGCACTGGTGGTGGAACAATCCCTTGTCTCTGTTGGTGGCGGTTTGGAGCATCTCCTTGACCAATCGGTCGAGTTTGCCTAGCTCGACCGAGTCCATTGCCCAAAGGGTTTCCATTCCCCTCTGGTACATCCATTGTATCAGCAACAAGCACCTCAGGTTCCTCTTGTACCCTCTGTGACCTCTGAACCCTCTTTCTACCCGTTGTAAGTCTAGCTCGACCAAGTCTTCAGTTAGACCGACTCGATCGAGTTCGCATACACCTGCAAAAAGAGACAAAAACCCAGCAGTACAATAGAACAGGGGTGGTATAGCTTGATCGTCCAAGTGTATGTTTGAAACTCAAATGCAACAAAAATATTCAACCAAATCGGCAACGGCGCCAAATTGATGATAGGATTTGTGTGTGGATGTGAAAGATATGAAATGAATGTGGTGGAATGCAACAGTGGTATATGATGAGGTGGTAAGATGCAAACACAAACACAGTCAACAATTCCCTTTAACCATGATAGTCATTGATAGTATAAGGGTTATCAATCCAAAATGGGAAACTTGTCACTCTATGAGAATATGAAACAACCAGGAAGTCAAGCAAGCAGTAATGATGAAGTAACACTAACAACCTAAATGAAAAATGCAGTAAAGCAAGCAGCTCGACCAAGGACTCGAGTCGAGTGGAACAGAGTACCAGCTCGATCGAGTTTACGAGTTGAGAAAAGCAATAAAGGTGCGACTTTAACAAGCTAAGAGAGAATTAGGGTTCAAGACAGGGTTTTGCAATAGGAATCTACACTTAATCAATCTAGCTCTTAAAACTCCTTGTATCAAGGCTTCTCTTGATATTGGGCTTCTCAATGCCTAGCCAACCCTTTCCCAAGGTGAAGGCTATCAACCAAGGAATGATCTCAGAAACAGGGGGTTAGCCAGTGAGAATCAAACCTTGGAGGCCATAGGATCATTGCCCAAACTAATCCATCCAACCCCTTAGACCTCATTTCTAGAGCAAGAGATATTGGAGCTCTTAGTGGATCTTTTCCAGCGAATGCCATCACTTCCGTGTGGAGAATCGCCTAAGGACTTACAAGCCAGGGGTAGTGGTCATGTAGCCTTAAGATCTATCCAAAAGAGAGAGAATCTAGATTAAGACCATAAGCTAGAAGGATTAAGCATATGAAACCTCTAATCTATCCCATCTCAAACCCTAATGGGTAACTACTCACTACACATGAATGTAAACACAAGCAAATGCAATGAAAAGAGACATCATAAGAAAGAGGAGATGAAATAAACAACTTTTATTGAAATAAGCAAGTGCAAATACAAAGAGATTATCCAGGATCTAGGATTCAAGAAGCAAGAGCTTCAAGAACACAAAGATGGGATTAGAGTTCTAAAAAGTAAAAGACAATAAATTAAAAGAAACTAAAACAAAATAATCTAAAGCTTGGTGGTTTTTTCGTGGCTTAGAGCCTTTAAATACAAGAGGATTAGGTTTAGGGTCAAAGGAAAGTCAAGGGGGAAGCAACATTTTTCGGGTTTGACTGTTGACTTCTCAGCTCGATCGAGTTGAAGCTTGGCCGGTCGAGTTGAGGAACTCGACCGGTTGGTCGAGTAGACGGTCGAGCTGGTCTTCAAGATGGCTTCTCCCTTCTTCCTTTGCGTATCCAGTTGAGCTGCGTCCATGCCAAGTCCCTCCATGCTCCTCATGTCCCATATGCTCCAGAATGCTCCAAAAGACCTATTTCAAAGGACCAAACATGCATATGTATGCAAATGCAACCTAAAACTAACATGAATGCATAAGAAGAGAAAAGGAACAAGATATGATGCAAATGGAGCTAAAACTATGCAAAAGATGCATAAAAGATGTGCTAAAACTATGTAAAATGCAAGTACATCAACTTCCCTTTGACCCTAAACCTAATCCTTTGTATTTAAAGGCTCTAAGCCACGAAAAAGACAACAATCTTTAGCTTACTTTTAGTTTTAGCTTTTCTTTTATTGTTTTACTTTTAGCAACCCTAAACCTCTCTTTGTGTTCTTGAGCTTCATGCTCTTGAACCTAGATCTTGGTTTATTTCTTTTGTATTTGCATTTGCTTATTTCAATAAAAGTTGCTTATTTCAATAAAAGTTGTTCATCTTTATCTCCTCTTTCATTTAATGTCTTCTTCATTGCATTTGATTGTGTTTCATTCATGTGTAGTGAGTAGTTCCTTTAGGGTCAAAGATGGGCTAGATTAGGGGATCTTTATGCTTAATCCTTCTTGCTTATGTTCTTAATCTAGAAATCTCTCTCTTTTGGACAATCCTTAAGGCTACATGACCACTACCCCTGGCTTGTATGTCATAGGCGATTCTCCACATGGAAGTGATGGAAATCGCTTGAAAAGGTCCACTAAGAGCTCCAATAAACCTTGCTCTCGAAATGGAGTTCATAGGTGTTGGATGGATTAGTTTGAGCAATGATCCTATGGCCTCCAAGGCTTGACTCTCACTGGCTAACCCCCTGTTTCTGAGATCATGCCTTGGTTGATAGCTTTCACCTTGGGAAAGGGCTAGCTAGGCATTGAGAAGCTCAATATCAAGAGATACCTTGATACAAGTTGTTTGAGAGCAAGATTGATTAAGTATAGTCTTCCCTGATTGTAAGACCCTGTCTTAGACCCTAATATTCGCATTAGCTTGTTAAAGTTCCTGCCTTTATCGCTTTTTACTCTAACTCGACCCTCAACTCGATCGAGCTTGGTTACTCTGTTCCCACTCGACTCGAGTCCTTGGTCGAGCTGCTTGCTTTACTGCTTTCTTTACTTTCTGCTTTGCATTTCTACTTCATTAGGTTGTTAGAGTTACTCATCTTACTTACTGTCTGCTTGACTTTCTTGTGATTGCATATCCTCATAGAGTAACAATTTCACCCTTATGGATTGATACCCCTTATACTTCAATGACTATGATGGTTAAGGGGAATTGATTGATTGTGATTGTGTTTTGCATCATACCACCTCATCTTCATATACCACTGTTGCATTCCACCTCATTTACATTCATACCATATCTTTCACATCACACACAAATCCTATCATCAGTCATTCCTAGGTATGGTTTGCACCTATGACCGTTCACTATGAATTCCTTTCCTTCTTGGTTGAGTAGAGTGAGGGATCCATAGGGTAGAACTTCGTGGATCTTGAATGGTCCCGACCACTTTGACCTTAGCTTCCCGGGAAACAACCTAGCTTGGAGTTAACAAGAGCACACTGTCCCCAGCCTTGAAGTCTTTAAGGCGAATCAGTTTGTCATGGGCTGCCTTGGTTCTCCTTAAGATCTAGGAGTTCTCATAGGCATCATTCTGATTTCCTCCAACTCAAACAAGTTCATTACTCTCTTTTCTTGTGCTGCCTTTATATCAAAGTTCAGCATCTTCACTGCCCATAGTGCCTTGTACTCAACCTCCACAGGTAAGTGGCAAGCTTTTCCATACAATAGGTTGAAAGGGACCTTCCAATTGGGTTTTGTAAGCTGTTCTATAGGCCCAAAGTGCTTCATCAAGCCTTGTTGACCAATCCTTCCTAGTGAAGCTCACAGTCTTCTCCAAGTATGGCCTTAATCTGTCTGTTGGAGACTTCAACTTGCCCACTGGTTTGAGGATGGTAGGGCGTGGCAACCTTGTGCTTGACTCCATAGTTCTTCATCAACTTCTCAAACACCTTGTTGATGAAATGGGAACCTCCATCCGAAATAACAACCCTTGGGATGCCATATCTTGGAAAGATGATGGTTCTGAACAGTTTGATAACAACTTGGCATCACAAGCTGGGCAGGGGAATGGCTTCATCCATTTGGACACATAGTCCACAGCACCAAAATGTAGTTGTGCCCATTTGAGGGGCTTGAAAGGTCCCATGAAGTCTATTCCCCATACATCAAAATCTCAACTTCAGAATTGGGTTTAGTGGCATTTCATCTCTCTTGGTGATCCCTCCTTTCCTTTGGCATGGATCACACTTGGCAATGAAGCTTGCTGCATCCTTGAACAAAGTAGGCCACCATAAACCCAGATTGCAAAACCTTAGTGCGTTTTGAATGTGGCAAAGTGACCTCCATAAGCAGACCCATGGCAATGCTCTAGAACTCCTTGTACATCTTCTTCAGCTATGCATCTTCTGTAAATGCTATTTGGTCCTCTCTTGTACAAGTAAGGCTCATCCCAATATAGTGCCTAGCATCCTTGAAGAACTTCTTCCTCTTGTAAGCATCAAAACTACTAGGGACTTCTCCACACCATGAAGTTCACTATATCAGCATACCAGGCAAATTCTCATCACGCAGAGCCTTAACTTCTTCCAGCCTGACTTTCTCATCAAAACCTCTTTCAAGATCATGATTGCCATAAGCTGTTCTTCAGGCATAGAATCATTGATGGGGACTATGTCTTCAACTCGCATCCTAGAGAGATGATCAGCAACTCCATTCTCCACTCCCTTTTTGTCCACAACTTCTATGTCAAACTCTTGAAGCAAAAGGATCCATCTGAGAAGTCTTGGCTTTGTATCTTTCTTAGCAAAGATGTGCCTAAGGGCAGCATGGTCAGTGTGCACAATCACCTTGATCCAACTATATAGCTTCGAAATTTCTCAAAGGCAAAGACTATGGCAAGGAGCTCCTTCTCTGTGGTTGCATACTTGCATTGAGCATCATCCATAGTTTGCTTGCATAGTAGATGACATTGAGTTTCTTGTCTATCTTTTGGCCAAGCACTGCTCCTACTGCATAGTCAGATGCATCACACATAATCTCAAATGGGTAATCCCAGTTTGGAGCTTGAACTATTGGGCAGACACCAGAGCATCCTTCAGCAAGGTCCAAGACTTGTGGCATTCTTCATCAAACTCAAAATCTGTCTCTTTGCACAGAAGCCTTGTCAAGGGTCTTGCTATCTTTGAGAAATCCTTGATGAATCTCCTGTAGAACCCTGCATGACCCAGAAAACTCCTGATGTCCTTCACAGTCTTGGGAACAGGAAGCTGCAACATGACATCCACCTTAGCTCGATCGAGCTCGATCCCTTTCTCGGAAATCTTGTGTCCAAGCACAATCCCTTCTTGAACCATGAAGTGGCACTTCTCCCAGTTGAGTACTAGATTTGTCTCCTCACACCTCTGCAAGACCCTGCACAAGTTAGACAAACATGAGGAGAAGGATGCTCCATAGACTGAGAAATCGTCCATGAAGACTTCTACCATCTCCTCTATCAGATCTGAAAAAATGGAAGTCGTGCATGTAACACCCCCGACTCGATCTACACATAGACAAAGCCGGTGAGCGTCACAATTTACCGAGGTTTGCTGGATAGGCCATCCCGGGCGAAGAACACAACACAGCCCAGGTCAGCCCGTCCCGCGAGCTCGACCCTCTCGGCCACGGCCGAAGGCTTTTCAACCCGTACCAAAGCCGAGAGTTGTGTTAGCCCGGACAAAGCTAATATCAGATGAAACCAGTTGATATAGAAAATAAACTTTATTAATCTATATATGGTTTCTCAAAACATCAGAAATACATTACGTTCGAGCCTAATGCCCAAAACCCACACTACATAAATTCAAAAGCGTTTAATTTACAAAGGCAAGACAAACTACGCTGGCGGCCTAACGTCCTTGCTCCAACTACTGGTTTCCTGCAAAAGAAGAGTGGAGGGTGAGCGCTAATCGCTCAGTGAGTTGTAGCTCCCACTAACAGGCAATAATAAACCCACCCAAAAACCCAAAATAACACAGAACAAGCAATGTTGCTATAACTCCTAGACTGACCGCACAACAATCAAACAAGAAGATGCACGATCAATCAGAGATTATAAACAACAACAATCAATCAATGCTTAAACATGCAATAAATAAACTTAACATCACACTCAACCACTTCCTCTTTCGCGTGTTCGGTACTTCCCGCGAACACCTATCTCACAGGCACACAGGCACGCGAGATAAAACATCACTACCCGAGTTCCATCTCCCAGGCAGCCACATCCCGTTGGATCGCCATTTCCACGGTTCACAACCCAAACGAGTTCTGTCTCCCAGATGGTCACATCCCGGGCTGTCTATTCCATACTCGGCCATAGGCAGCAACCCCGTCTCTCTGAGTATTCTCATTAGCCATTACACTAACTACATGAGGTGGAATAGTACTCGACCATAGGCTGCTATGCCGTCTCTCCGAGTCTTCCCACCTAGCCAGTCCATTTGCTAGGAAGGGGTACAAAAGAAGACCGAACCGCCAACATCAACATCAAACAAGTAACCATGTAACCTCACATGCAATATGATAACAATAAACAAGATCTAACAAACAAGCATCATAACAAAGAACCACACAGTCAAACCAATCAATCAAATAATAACATCAAGCAATCAAAGAAATCAATCAATCACGCAATCTAGCATTTCCTAGCAAGCAATCAAACATCACCACAACTCACAATCAAACTATCAATATATCAAGCAATCTAACATTCCCTAACAAGCAATCAAACATCACCACAACTCACAATCAAGCTATCAATATATCAAGCAATCTAACATTCCCTAACAAGCAATCAAACATCACCACAACTCACAGTGCTTTCGGCTGAACGGTTTCTAGCCTAGGTTTACTACTCCGGGTTTACCGCTGAACCGTCAGCTTGCCATAAGCTTCTGCCCGAACGCTCCCTCTCTTCTTCTTCTTTTTCTTCTCTTTCTTCTTCTTCTCCTCCTCCTCCTCTTTCTTCTTCTTCTGGGCGTCCTCCCTCTCACTCTATTTCTCTCTCTACTTTCTCTCTCTTTCTTTCTGATTTTTGGTGTGGTTTGCAAATGAGGCCAAGGGTCCTATTTATAGGCTGGGAAGTGAAGCAGGTGAGTGATCTCCTCATAAGAATGGCGCCACCTCTTCCCCTGTGTGGACTAATGGTGTTGAGGCACGCCTACAGCAACTCCATCCATCATTATCCACTTAGCTTGAATGGCACTTTTCCATTGGTCCATTTTCCAAGCTGCTAGGTAGCTGAACCTGATTGGTCCATTGAAGATGATCATCACTTCCTTGATCCTATCTTCCTGGAACGAGTGGCTCCATCCCATTGGCTCCTTCCTCAAGCTGTTGGGTGCTTGGACATGATTCGTCCAACACATTTTCGTCCCTTATGAGTAGCTGAGTGCTCACACTTGATTGGTCCAGCATAATTTCGTCCTATGTAGCTGTTGGTGTCGCCCCTTACTGGTTTAGACCATTCTTATCATCTCCAAGTAGCTGGTGTTGTCATCCCATTGCTCCACCCACCTTTTGCCTTTTGAGGAGGGTTTTTTATGTTTCCTCTTCCAGAGGGTTTCGTCCCCGTCGTGCTTGAGAATTAAAATTTTCTATTTTAATCCTTTCGTCAGTTCCATGCTTTTGAGCTTTCACTTAGCTACTCGGAAATGTCCGGAAATTCCTTATCCCGACCATACCGTTCTTGAAACAGCTTTATCTTCTCTTCGTCTTCAGAGTTGTTCATCCCATCCGGACCATTGGGATTGGGATCGTGCGACTAAAATTCCGCTCTGATGCGGGATATTACAATGCATCTCTGGAAAGTAGCTGGGGCATTGCACAGCCCAAATGGCATCCTTCGATAAGCAAAGGTACCATAAGGGCATGTGAAAGTGGTTTTCTCCTGATCATTGGGGTGGATCGGGATTTGGAAGAAACCACTGTAACCATCAAGAAAACAATAAAAAGGATGGTTTGCTAATCTTTCTAACATCTGATCAATGAAAGGGAGAGGGAAATGATCCTTTCTAGATGCTGAATTTAACTTCCTATAGTCAATACACATGCGATGCCCCACTATTGTTCTAGTGGGAATCAGCTCCTCTTTGTCATTTTTATGACAGTGATCCCCCCTTTCTTTGGGACGCAATGAACTGGAGATATCCAAGTGCTATCACTGATGGGATAGATTATCCCAGCATCAAGCAACTTGAGTATCTCTTTCTTCACTACTTCCTTTAGATTGGGGTTCAATCTCCTTTGAGGTTCAATGCTAGACTTACTTTCATCCTCTAGATGAATCCTATGGATGCATAGGTCAGGGGAGATCCCTTGATATCATCTAGAGTGTAACCTATTGCTTTTCTGTACTTTCTCAATTCAACAAGCAAGCACTCAACTGTTCAGGTTCCAAATCAGAGTTCACAATGACAGGGTAAGTTGAGTTTTCACCCAGAAATGCATACCTGAGGCCCTCAGGCAAAGGTTTGAGGTCGACCTTAGGTGCCTTGAGCTCAGACCAATCTCCTTGAGCTTGTTCCTTGCATTCAGTCCCCAGCTCGATCGAGTTCGTTTGTTCAGGCTCGATCGAGCTCTTGATCGAGCTCACTGCCATGACTTCGCAAATGGCCTGTCTAACCCCTCAATGCTCAGAATGCTTGGAACTGGTCTGAAGGTGTCAAGGAGCTTCGAATATTCCTCGGTTTCTGAGCTCACATATCCTTCAGATCCTTGGTCAAAGCAACTTGTGGATCCTCCAATGATAGTCTTCTAAAAGCTCATCTGCCAACTGATCCATCTTCAACATAAAAGAGTTGACCTTCTATTGTTGGCTTCCTCATTGTATCCTTGATGTCAAACTTCATCTTAGGTCCTTTCCCAAGTTTAGCTCAATTGTGCCTTCACAGACATCTATCATTGCTCTTGCTGTAGCTAGGAATGGCCTTCCTAGTATCAATGGATCTGTTGGTTCCTCATCCATCTCAAGCACAATGAAGTCGGTGGGGATTTCTACATTCCCTATTCTCAAAGGCAGGTCTTCAAGCATTCCAGTTGGTAACCTTATCGATCTATCTGCCAAAACTAGTGAGATTCCGCAGGCTTGATACTTGTGATATCCCAGTCTCTTTGCTACGGACAAAGGCATGAGGCTGACTGATGATCCTAGGTCGCAGAGGCTGTTTTTGAAAGATAGAGGTCCCAACATGCAGGCAAAGTGAAACTCCCCGGATCTTCCTTTTTGTCGGAGATGACCTTCCGTTGAATGATTGCACTGCACTCACGAGTCAACACTACCATTCCTTGCACCTCCCTGGTTCTTTGCTGAACAGCATCCTTCAGGAATTTTGGTAAGGTGGAATGAGCATCAAGGCATCGATGAAAGGCAACTTCAGCTCAAGTTCTCATTAGTTCATCAAACTTGGCCTTGTGCTTCCAACAGTGTTTCTTGAACCTTCCTGGAAAGGTAGAGGGGGTTTGTATGGTGGTGGTCCTGATGGAGTGTCTTTCTTCTTTCAACAGGTTTAGTTGGTTGGCTGGAGTTGCTTGTCTTTGCTCTTCTGGCTCGATCGAGCTCTGGTTTGTCTTGCTGAGTCTTGGTTTCTTCAGCTCGATCGAGCTCTGGTTCAGGGTTTTGTTCCAGCTCGATCGAGTTCGGTGCAGGATGTCAGCATACTCGACCAAATCCTCCCCTTCCTCGTCATCGATGTCCACAGCGATTTGGGGTGGGCTACTCTGCTTGGAATTGTCGCCCACTTCTCAGTGTAACTGCTTGGGCATACTCTTGTGGTGAAGAGGATGATGCACTAGAAGACTCAATGATTTGACTCTTGAAGTCAATGACTCAAGTTTGGAGTTTATCTCAACCAACTTGTGGTTCATTTCCAGTGAACCTTTGGCTTGCCCTTGTAGGAGTTGTTGGAGCATTTCCTTCATATCCCAATCTTGACTTGGTTGGGTATGGTGAGGCATTGGGTGAAGCCCGGTGGTACACTTGGTTGCTGCAAGTTGTTGATAGCTAGTATGTCCCTGTTGGCCATAGCTGATTTGATATCCTTGGATTGGGTTCCTATAGCCTCCTTGTCTATTTTGAATATAGCAAACCTCATGTTGTTCTCCTCCCCTTCCTGGTCCTTAACTAGAGCTTTTCCAGAGACATAATTGACATGCTTGGCAGGGAATTGGGCTAGGATCAGTTTGTCCAACTTCGAGTTGAGTGCAAGCATGTCTTTTCTCATTTGTGCTTCCAGCTCGATCGAGTGCGCGGTCGAGCTCCAGTCTGTACTTCATAATTCTCTCCATAGCATTCAGTTGATGGCCATGTTCTCCACAAGCTGCCAGCCATCATCCACATCCTGATTGAGGAAGTTCCCATTGCTGGCTGTGTCCAACATCTCTCTATACCTTGCCAAGCACCTCTATAAGAGTAGAGAGCAATACTCATTGTTGAAGCCATGATGGGGGCACTGACTTGTGTAGCCCTTTGAATCTCTCCCAAGCCTCAGCAAAAGTCTCATTGTTCTCTGTATGAAGCTCGATATCTCACTCCTTAGCTTGGCTGTGCGACCGGTGGAGAAAAACTTAGCAAGAAAGGCCTTCTTGCATTCATCCCAAGTGGTGATTGTGCCATGGGGCAAGGCTCTTCTCCCATTGGTGAGCTTTGTCAGCAAGAGACATAGGGAAGAGTCTCAGCTTGATGGCATCTTCAGAGACACCATTGATCTTTGTCAAATCACATAGCCTATCAAACTCATCAAGGTGATCAATGGGGTCTTCACTTGGCAATCCATGGAACATCTTGTTCTGCACAAGGTTGATCATTCCCAGCTTGATCTCAAAGTTGTGGTTCTGCAGGTGGTGGGACAATCCCTTGTCTTTGTTGATGGCGGTTTGGAGCATCTCCTAGACCAATCGGTCGAGGTTGCCTAGCTCGACCGAGTCCATTACCCAAAGCCCAAAGGGTTTCCATTCCCTCTGGTACATCCATGGTTTCAGTAACAAGCACCTCAGGTTCTCTTGTACCCTCTGAGTTCTCTGACTTCTCTTTCTACCCGTGGTGAAATCTAGCTCGACCAAGTCTTCAGTTGTTCGACTCGATCGAGTTCGCATGCACCTGCAAAAAGAATAAAAACCCAGCAATACAAAGAACAGGGGTGGGATAGCTTGATCGTCCAAGTGTTTGGAAACTCAAATGCAACAAAATTCAACCCAAATGGCAACGGCGCCAAATTGATGATAGGATTTGTGTGTGTGATATGAAATGATGAATGATATGAGGTGGAATGCAACAGTGGTGAATAAAGATGAGATGGTATGGTGCAATCACAATCAATCAATTCCTCTTAACCATCATAGTCATTGAAGTATAAAGGTTATCAATCCAAAAGGGTGATGTTGCTCTTTGAATATGCAAACACAAGAAAGTCAAGCAGTAAATAAGGGGGATGAACTAACAACCTAATGAAATGAAATGCAGTGCATAAAGTAAAAGAAAGCAGTAAAGCAAGCAGCTCGACCAAGGACTCGATCGAGTGGGAACAGAGTAAGCTCGATCGAGTTGAGGGTCGAGTTGACGTAAAAACAGATAAAGCGAAAAAGCACGAACTTTAAGAAGCTAATGCGAATATTAGGGTCTAAGACAGGGTCTTACAACTGACATACTTAATCAATCTTGCTCTTAAACAACTTGTATCAAGGTATCTCTTGATATTGAGCTTCTCAATGCCTAGCTAGCCCTTTCCTAAGGTGAAAGCTATCATCAAGGCAAGATCTCAGAAACAGGGGGTTAGCCAGTGAGAATCAAGCCTTGGAGGCAGTGATTGCGGCATCTATGGGATGAGTACAAGTAATAATTCCCTAAGACAACTAGTGTTGCAAGTGCACAACATATAATTGTAGTATTTAGGGGTCGAACCACAAGGGATTGGATTTCACACATTACATAATCATAGAGTTTAAATGACTAAGCTAAATCAAAAGATGCAAGGGTTTGTGTTTGTTTAGAACACGCAAAAGAAATAACAATGCAATTCTATACAAGCAACATTATTGAACTATTGAAAACTCTTTTGAAAACATGAGCCAAGTCGATTGAAAAGTTTGTTAAAATCCGATTCTTTTGAACTCAAAACACTAAGGAAGGATTATTCCACTTTCGTGGTTCCAATCCCCTATGTCTCTTAAACCAATGGGCTCAGCTTTCGTTGGTCATTGTAGAGTGAGACATGCATTACATCCAAGTAATGATTGTTCACAAAACTCTTTAGGTCTACTTTCGTAGCCTAAAACGATTTGCCCATCAAATACTATATCCGGAGATATAACAAGCTTTTGGAGAGTATATCAACCTAAAATCAAGTCACTAGTTAGCTACTCTAGCAACAGCATTAAGCATAAATAAAGATGGAGAACCATAGGGTTTCCCCTTTTAACAATCGATTTTCGATGGCCATTATATCACGTCCTCATTGGAAGGATCCATAATTCAACAATGAGTCTTAGATAGTAGATGAAGTCTCATGAATCCTTAGAGAGAGAGGCGGCGGAATATGGACTAAACCACGCCTCACCCTTAGGGAGAAATCTCTACTTCTAGACTATATAAATTGAAACATGCAAGCTATATACAAATGCAAAAGAAGAAAAGAAAGAAGAAGGAGACCACCTAAGTGGCTCCGAACTTTATTGAATAAGTGTTTCTTGTTATGCGGCTGGTGATTCTTATTACAAGAGGCTAAAAGCAAGTATATATAGGTAGAGAGCGGGTCTAGGTCGGCAAAGTTGAGCGCGCGCAGAAGAGGAAAGTTTCCATTTCTCTTTAGCCGCTTGAGCTTGCTCTCCAAGTTCTTGAATGGGCCGCGTTCAGGCCAATGGAAGCTTCTGGATTGAGTTATGCTAGTGTCAAGATGAGCCAAGGCCTTGGGCGCGGTATCTCGGGCCTCTTGATCCATCAAAGTCTCCATGGGCTCTACTTAGGCGCTCGTCGGACATGTCTTGGTAGAAAATAAGTTCCGGTCCAACGAGTGATCCAAATGACCTCTTTCCACTTCGCCGCGGGTCATGACTCAAATATCTATCTTTCCATATAAGAATCATGACTTTTGGACGTCGGGAAGGCATGAATATGCGGTGCGGTCGTGCTCCGGATGCTCCGGTTTGGTCTTTAGCGAGAAATGTAGATTTGGTGCTCTAGACTTGGGAACTTGGTGATTTGACTCTTTTTGCTCCATTTTGACTCTTCTTTGCTATTTTGACCTGAATGATGCTCAAAACCAGAATATACAAGAAAACTACCTCTTGGGCTAAAAACCACATTATTTGTATTAAAAACATAGTGAAAACCTTGATAAAAACATGAAAGATATGGGTATATCAACTCCCCCAGACTTAGCCTTTTGCTTGTCCCCAAGCAAACTAAGAGAGGAAGAGAGGTTTGAAAACGCAAGAACTCTCAAATCATTAGGAAATCCGGGTTGGCTTGGTTTTAGTAATCCACATGAAAGTAGTAAAGGCAAATATTTGAATTAAGAACAAGAGTACATACCATGAGTTTTGCGATTTTTCCAAGGCGGCCCACCTCTCTTTGGACAATCCAATTCACCCTCCTTGACTCCTTTCATTTCTAAAGGTGTGGTCTCAACTAGGGAGTATCGATCAGCCGGCTTTAGACTCTTACTCATCCCCTTGTTTTGGCACTTGTCTTTTTACTCCATGTTTCTCCTCTCTCTCTTCTCACTTCTTTGAGTTGATCATCCCTTTTTTAGGGTAGCGAAGTATTTTTTTATTCAACTCCTTCTCTTTATTATAGAGGTTTTGCTTGGATCTTCCACAGACGCGAGTATTGATGGTGTTTGCCACCGAATCCCCGGTTGCTTGGATTCATAGGCCTTCCATAGACGCGAGTATTGATGGTGTTTGCCACCGAATCCCCGGTTACTTGGACCTTACGCTTTTTCTTTAAATTTGAAGGGGAGAGAGAGGGAAGCACGAACTCACTAAGACTTTTTCATTTGATGGAGAGGATGAGGAATCATGCCATTTGTATGCCAAGCCCCTAGCTGAGAAGATTAAGTTCATTAAGGGCGGAGTCAAGAGTGGATCCTTCTCAAGTCCTTGGAGGTGTGGGCGTTTTTGGTAGATCGATCAACTCATAGTGTCCCTGTGGTAAGATGTATTGCCAAGACTGCTTCAATGGTCACTTAAACGTTAGCACAACAATGGTTAGATCCAAGATAAGGTCATAATCCTTTGACAAAATTTTGACTCAATAAAACGACTCAATGAAATTCAAAAAGAACAAACTTGTTAGTAATCCCCCCAGACTTAACTTGCACCGTCTCGGTGTAAGAAAAATCCAATTAAGAGAGGTAATGATAAATAGAATGGAAAAGTTAGAGTTTGTAGAAAATTGTACCCAAATTTTTGGCCTTTGATGTGAAGATCGGTTGTGCATTGAGTTGCTTCCAGGAATGAACTGACTGGTGCAAACATCATAGCTGTTGGATTTGGTTGGATGAATGTGACAATTCTCCCTTGGTTTTCTGTTTTTCGCCTTTTTGGCCGAGACTGGTCCGTTTTGGTCGACCGGATGGTGATGGTATGGACTACAGCTCGAACCGTGAAGATTTCCTCGACCTATCTTGAAATTTCGTCGACCAATATTGTATAATATGGCGACTGGTGAAGTTTGGGGTCGTTTGAACGAGTGGTTTGAGATCTCCTTTGAAAAATTTTCAAATTGGCTCCGGGAACGTCTTCCTTCGGTCTTCTCCAATTCTGCTCGTTCCAATCCGGATTTTCTTCTTTAGATGCGATGTGGATGCTTGATGGAGGTGATTTGAGCCGGTGGCCGCGGTAAATGCCGTGATTTGGATTGTCGGCCATTTTACTTGCTCGCGATCGGCCAAATTTCACTCCATCGGCCATCTCTTGAATTGTAAGGAATTCATTGTACTGAAATGAAATTTCATCGACCAACCTTATGTTTTGTGGCTCCTTGTGAAGTTTGAGGCGATTTGAACGTGTGGATTCGGAGATCTTTCGTTGTGCGCGCCAATGGCTTCGGGATGTGATTCCTTTGGCCATCTTGTATTCTGTTCGATCGTCTCCTTCCTTTTCTTCTTCCTTGGTGTTTTTTGGACTCCAGAGGATCAGTTTCCACCGGTGTTCGCGCCTTCTTGAGGTTTTGAGTTCGTCGGCCATTCTATGCATCGCCGTCGGCCGTATTGAGCTTCCTCGTCTATCTCACGTAGCAGGCACTTTTTCTCGTCCTATCTTTTGGATTTGCCGACCAAAATGATGTTTTGAGGTCGCCTGTGAAGTTTGGTGGACTTCGGTCGTGCCGTTTGGGAGATGGTCGAGCATTGTCGCTTGGTTCGTCGATTCTGGCCGAGAGAGTGATTGGGAATGTGATATCTCCTTTTTTACTCGGGCCAATTGAGTTCTGCTTCGACCGAACTGTTTTTCTATCCCTCCTGGATTGAATTGTGGTTGGATTTCCCTCATCTCTCATGTTTGGCATGTAAATCCTCCTTTGGCCGGTTGTGGCTTCCTTGCGCGCCATGTTTGTTTGATATTTTGAACCGGTTCTCCTGTCATATTTAATCTGAAAAACACTAGTAACTTTTTGTTAAACTCTGTCAATGATTGAGTTGTTCAAAATAGTTTGAACTTCCCAATCAAAGACTTGATCGTGAAACCATATGTACTTGTGATCTTGATCAGAAATCCAAGTAGTGTTGTATTGGTTTAATTTGATAGAAATAGTGTTTAAAAGAAATGACATAAGAATGGAAGTGATACTTACCTTTGCCTTGTGCAATAGTGTTCCAATGGCCGGATTTTGTTGTGCCGCGGCCCTTCTTGGATTCTTTGCTTCTTGAAACATGGGTGGGACTTGGGTGGGACTCAAACTAGACTCAATACTTGACACTTAGACCAAAGATGGTTGATCTTGGGCCGATTAGTGGCGATGTAGCTTTTCCAATGCATTTTTCATGTAAGCCTCCTTTTTGGTACTTTTTCCTAAAACACTTTTTATTTTATTTTTGTAAAATTTATTAAACTCTCAAAAATTTAAGAGTTATAAATAGAACAAATAAGTAGTTATAAAAATAAAAACAAAAATAAAAAGAGGAAGGGATAAGAAAATGTGGGTTGCCTCCCACAAGCGCTTGTTTTAAGTCTTTGTAGCTCGACTCCTTTGTGTTCTTAGTTAGGTAGGATTGGTGGCTCCAAGAACTTCCTGTTGCCTGATGATTCCAAGTGCATCTTGTCCTGTAGAACTTCCTTGATCAAGTAGCCATGCGACTCTCCTCTTACTTGTGAGCACTCTCCTCCACTTGTGTAGCGAAATCGCTTGGATGAGAAACCGGGAGGTGCAGCATCGTAGAAGGTGTCCTTGTCAACATTGGCTAGAGAGATTCTTCTATTAGGCCAATCCATGATCGCTCCAGCTGTGGCTAGGAATGATCTTCCAAGCAAAAGCTTTAAGTCCTCCGGATCCTTCATGGTTACTACATAGAAGTTGGCTGGAACTATGCAGCCTCCAAAATCAAGCTGAATGTCTTTAACCTCTCCAAGTGGTTCGGTCAATGATGAATCAGCTAGCTTTAAATCCATTCGAGATTTCACAATTGAATTGATCAATCCCAACTTCTTGGCTATCTCGGCCGGCATAAGGTTCACACTAGAACCGGAATCGCAAAGAGCATCATCAAAGTAGCTTCCATTGATAGAGAAATGTATAAGGAAGTAACCTGGGTCATGAAGCTTGTGTAGAAACCTAGGTTTAGGCATCCCCTTTCTTGCTTCCTCGTACATCTTTTCCAATTCAGCTAGACTCCAATCTTGTGTCCAAGCTAGGTCTTGCATGAATGGACTCTTGTTGCAAGCATTATCAAACGGCACACCATAAGGGAATCTCCTCGCCATAAAGTTGAAATCATCTATGATCTCTTCAAGTGATGATCTTGTCTTCCTCTTCTCCTTGGTGGGAGGCGGTTGTGAAGACCTTTGAGTAAGGGTTCTTCCTTTTGGTGCTATCTTCTCTCTTGTTCCAGTGGTTAGCCTTCGTGGCTCTTTCTTGATCAGCTCTTCTTTCTTCTTCATCCCAAATCACTCTTGGGTCGGTCTCTCTTATAGTAAAGACGGACGCGGCATGGTTGTGCTTAGAACCGGTCGTCTTTGCCTCGGTCAAGACCTTCTCTTCCAAGTTGGCTAAGCGAGTGGTTAAATCCTTGACTTCCTTGGAGACTCCATCTACTTTGTCTTCAAGCCCTCTAGCTCTTCTTTGAATATCTTGGTGATGTACTTGCATTTTACATAGTTTTAGCACATCTTTTGCATAGTTTTAGCTTCCATTTGCATCATATCTTGTTCCTTTTCTCTTCTTATGCATTCATGTTAGTTTTAGGTTGCATTTGCATACATATGCATGTTTGGTCCTTTGAAATAGGTCTTTTGGAGCATTCTGGAGCATATGGGACATGAGGAGCATGGAGGGACTTGGCACATGGACGCAGCTCAACTGGATACGCAAAGGAAGAAGGGAGAAGCCATCTTGAAGACCAGCTCGACCGTCTACTCGACCAACCGGTCGAGTTCCTCAACTCGACCGGCCAAGCTTCAACTCGATCGAGCTGAGAAGTCAACAGTCAAACCCGAAAAATGTTGCTTCCCCCTTGACTTTCCTTTGACCCTAAACCTAAAACCTCTTGTATTTAAAGGCTCTAAGCCACGAAAAAACCACCAAGCTTTAGATTATTTTTGTTTTAGCTTTTCTTTAATTTATTGTCTTTTACTTTTTAGCAACTCTAATCCATCTTTGTGTTCTTGAAGCTCTTGCTTCTTGAATCTTAGATCCTGGATTATTTGCTTTGTATTTGCACTTGCTTATTTCAATAAAAGTTGTTTAATTTCATCTCCTCTTTCTTATGATGTCTCTTTTATTGCATTTGCTTGTGTTTACATTCATGTGTAGTGAGTAGCTAATTCTTTGAATTTTTGATCCATTTCAGGAACCCAACTTCAAGGAGCAACAAGTTCAAAATGTTGAGAGGTGAAGGAAGCCAAGCAGCATTGGGGAGAAAGCAAAGAGCAGAGAAGGCAAGAAGAATGAGAGAAAGGATGTCCATAGATGAAGGGTTGGAATATGTGAGATCAAGGGAAGAGAGGAACCAGCAGATGGAAGAGAGGCATGTCTCCTCTGAGGAGCGTTCTGAAAGCGAGAGATTGAGGGAGGAAAGGAGGACCAAGAAGAGGAATGACGCCATTAGTAGTGAGAGTGAACAAGGGGAGTTTGAGATTGGAGTGAACCTTGTTCAAGAGGGTAGTGGTTCTCCAAGTGAAGAAGGAAGTGATGAGACTGAGAGTGAGAGGAAGGAGAAGAGGTCAATCAAGAGTTGAGGAAAGTGTGCATGAGGGCAATGAGAATGTGCCAATGGAGGAGGCTGAATCAGAGGAAGAGGATGAGCTCCCCATGTACCAAGAGCACTTACAATGCTCTCTTCTCCATGGACTTTGTGGAGACTAAGTACCCACATGATGACACCATGAGAGACCTTGGGATCTTTGAGGATGTGGAGTTGGTGCTCAAGAACATGCAATTGGGAAGTTCTTCTCTCACCGCATGGAGTCTTACAAGGAGTTGACTTGTGAGTTTTTGGCATCAATGAAGCATCACGAGTTTGATGAGCTCGATCGAGCTGAGTTGGACCAAGGCTGGGGGTACATAACTTGGCAAAGGAGAGAAGAAGATGGTGACCTTTAGGCAGCTTGAGATACTGTTTGGGTTCACATATGGAGAAGGAAATCTGTGGAACATCAAGGAAGATGAACTCCAAAGAGTATGGGCTACAATAGCTGAAGAGGGGTACTCTTCCTCAAGGTCCAAGGCTGCCCAGATCAGAAGTCCTGTGCTTAGATATGTCCACAAGGCTCTTGCAAACACCTTCTTTGCAAGGAAAGCCACTGGAACAATCAATGAGGGAGAAGTGAAGCTCCTTGACATGGGAATCAAGCCTATCATCTCACGAACAAGGGATGGGAAGAAGATCAGAGGAGATAGGGCACACGCAGGGAACTCATGCCTCTCCTTGAGCAGCTCCAAGCCTACAAGGTCACGCTTACAACACTAGGCACCAAGGAGGAAGAAAGCTTAGTGTTGGAGGGGTGATCACACCAATTCTTTGTGCAGCAGGAGTCCATTTGGACAAGAGAAGGTCTACTCCACCAGGTTGGATGGACATCAAGTTTTGCAAGACCAACCTCTCATTGAGCACAAGGAGTTGGATGGGAGGTTCCAATTCAAGTTCACTCATCCTTGGCTGGCCCTCCAAGCTTCTTCTGCCCAACCCTGAGCTCACCACGGTTCTAGGAGGTACAACATTGACTTCAGACCCCCTGTGTACACATTAGTTGGGCATGAAGAGGATTTGCGAGAAGAGGAGCCTGAGCTCGATCGAGCTGAGGACAACGCCCAGTGAATGCGGATTTGGGTGAGCCTGAGTGCTACTACTTTGAGGAGTATGAGGCTCCAAGGATGAACCCCTCTGTTGTGGCTGCCACAAGAGGATTGGACTTCTCCAAAGTTCAACAAGTGGCAAGGGAAAGCCATGGAAAGATGCAAAAGTCCATGGACAAGATCAAGAGTCTTGGAGAAGAAGGTTTCTGGTTCTTCAAGCAAGAAGAAGAAGTCCAAGGCTCCCACATTCCCTAGGAGTAGGTCACTCCTCACCACTCCAAGGAGGCTCCCTGCCCAAGAGCCTCACAGAGCCTCTTCTTTCGAGCCAAGGGAAGGAGAAGACAACTCGCAGAGAAGGAGGAAGAGTTCCAAGGCCAGACGCTCCAGCTCGACCACCGGACTCGATCGAGTCCAAACAGAGGAAACTCAACTCGATCGAGCTGAGGGTCGAGTTGACCTGGAGGAGCCCCTGTTTGAGAACCCTGGATTCGAGTACGATCAACGCAGTACCAGGACTTCTCTCAGACCTCTGGACCCCTACAACCGCTTCGAGCAGCCAGCTCCACCAAGGCCAAGGAAGCCACACACATTTCAACGATGAAGAAGAGGAGAAGAGGAGCCGCAAGCTCGATCGAGTGAGCCGAACCCAGTTGATGGAGTGCTCCTGATGGCCGTCTCCCATCTCCAGACCACGACCTAGCTCCCAGTTCTTTGGGGGGCACTGAGGTATCCAAACACCAACCCTTGTATATACCATTTCATATTTTCTTGCATTTGTTCTTGTTTTTTCTTGGTTTTGCCCTCTTGAATCTTTCACTAAATTTTTCTCACACAAGGGACTGTGTGATTTAAGTTTGGGGGAGGGTTCAAGAGATGATTTAACCTTGTTTTCTTTGTTCTTAGTTTTTCATTTATCTTTTGCATAGAAAAACCAAAAAAATCATAAAATTTTCAAAAAATCCAAAAATATTTTCATCTTTTTGCATTCATATTTGTTAGACTTGTTTAGGATTGCATTTTTCACTTGCATTGTTGATTTGACTTTGAAAACTTGTCCATCTTTTGCGATTTCTTGAGTGCCCTGTTTTTAGATTCTTTTGTGCATTAGGGTGAGATTGATTGAGCAGCAAGAACCATGTTTATCTTGATCATATCACTGCATGCACATCTCATTCAACCATTGCTGTGATTTGATGCATTTCCCTATCTATTTGAACCATAACTTGATCTTTAATTACCAATGCTTGCATTTGATTTCAACTCATGGCTACCACATACATATCTGGACATTCTTTACCTATTTTCATATCCCTTTTGCTTGTCCAGATAGCTGATCTCTATCTTTGAGACAGTTACCACACCTTAAACCTAAGCCTTTTCATTTCAAACCCCATATTATCTCTTGTGCGAATGTGAGAACCTTTCTTGGCTTTGCTTAGCATAAGGTGTTGTGTTTAAACCGGCAGGGGCAGTAGTTCTAGTTGTCTAGTTCTCTTGGGATTGTTTTCAGGCTAAGTTTGGGGGTGCCAACTCGAGCTCGATCGAGTTGGGTGTAAAAACCAGAAAAGTGGTAAAAGTTGGGAAAAACCCAAAGGAAAAAGAGTTTAGTTAAGTCCAGGGAGTTGGCAGTGTTAAAAAGGGTCTAGTAAAGGTTTGGGAAGTTAAAAAAGGAAGTAAAAAGGGTTCTAAGTAGAATGAAAAGAAGGCAAAGCCTCAAGTGTCCAAAAAGGAAAGAAAAGTTCCCTAAGTGTTTAGAAAATCCCAAACCGCTAGATGTTACCTCAAGAAGCCTCTCCCTAGGAAGTTCTTAAAAGAAAAGTGAGCAAAGCTCCTCAGTTTCAAAGGCGAAATGCCAAAAAGGGTAGTTAGGATTTTGTTCTAAAAAGCTCTAAGTGTTGAACTCGATCGAGTTAGGATTAGGCGGCTCGAGCTGCTGTTCTTGCATCATCTTTGGTTCTAACACTTAGCCTTCTGCCAAAGCAAAGCCACTTTCTTGAGAGATCCCTGTTACTAAACCACCATACAAAAGAGACCCTCTTTGTCTCTTAACCCATAAACCCTTGAAACCAAATGAGTTGATTGATCTTGCATGTTTTTGGTTCACTGTTTTTGCTTAATGAATGTTAAAGGGATTTGCTGATTTGAATGCATTGTTTGAGTGACTGTGAAGTGGGATTGATGTTGATAAGCATGGTTAAATCTTAATGAATATCTCTCACCTTGTTGCATTCTAGAATCTCTAAGTTGGACATTTAGCAAATCGCTTTTGAGGACATGTTTTTAAGTGTTGAATCAGCTTGTTTTCAAACCTCATCTCTTTCTTGTTCTATTTGTTTGCTTGAGGGCAAGCAAAGTTCAAGTTTGGGGGTGTTGATGTACTTGCATTTTACATAGTTTTAGCACATCTTTTATGCATCTTTTGCATAGTTTTAGCTTCCATTTGCATCATATCTTGTTCCTTTTCTCTTCTTATGCATTCATGTTAGTTTTAGGTTGCATTTGCATACATATGCATGTTTGGTCCTTTGAAATAGGTCTTTTGGAGCATTCTGGAGCATATGGGACATGAGGAGCATGGAGGGACTTGGCACATGGAAGCAGCTCAACTGGATACGCAAAGGAAGAAGGGAGAAGCCATCTTGAAGACCAGCTCGACCGTCGAGTTCCTCAACTCGACCGGCCAAGCTTCAACTCGATCGAGCTGAGAAGTCAACAGTCAAACCCGAAAAATGTTGCTTCCCCCTTGACTTTCCTTTGACCCTAAACCTAATCCTCTTGTATTTAAAGGCTCTAAGCCACGAAAAAACCACCAAGCTTTAGATTATTTTGTTTTAGTTTCTTTTAATTTATTGTCTTTTACTTTTTAGAATCTAATCCATCTTTGTGTTCTTGAAGCTCTTGCTTCTTGAATCTTAGATCCTGGATAATCTCTTTGTATTTGCACTTGCTTATTTCAATAAAAGTTGTTTAATTTCATCTCCTCTTTCTTATGATGTCTCTTTTATTGCATTTGCTTGTGTTTACATTCATGTGTAGTGAGTAGTTACCCATTAGGGTTTGAGATGGGATAGATTAGAGGTTTCATATGCTTAATCCTTCTAGCTTATGGTCTTAATCTAGATTCTCTCTCTTTTGGATAGATCTTAAGGCTACATGACCACTACCCCTGGCTTGTAAGTCCTTAGGCGACTCCCCACACGAAAGTGATGGCATTCGCTGGAAAAGATCCACTAAGAGCTCCAATATCTCTTGCTCTAGAAATAGAGGTCTAAGGGGTTGGATGGATTAGTTTGGGCAATGATCCTATAGCCTCCAAGGTTTGATTCTCACTGGCTAACCCCCTGTTTCTGAGATCATTCCTTGGTTGATAGCCTTCACCTTGGGAAAGGGTTGGCTAGGCATTGAGAAGCCCAATATCAAGAGAAGCCTTGGATGAGATTGAAGTGTAGTTCCTTGATTGCAAAACCCTGTCTTGAACCCTAATTCTCTCTTATCTTGTTAAAGTCGTCACCTTTAGCTTTGTTTGTCTCAACTCGTCCCTAAACTCGATCGAGCTGGTACTTGTTCTGACTCGACTCGAGTCTTGGTCGAGCTGCTACTTCACTGCTTTGTTTACTTTTATTGCACTGCATTTCATTTATTTAGGTTGTTAGTGTTACTTCAAATCTATTACTGCTTGCTTGACTTTCTGTTGTTTCATATTCTCAAAGAGTGACAAGTTTCCCATTTTGGATTGATAACCTCTTGTACTACATGACTATGATGGTTAAGAGGAATTGATTGATTGTGATTGCACCATTTCATCTTTATTCACCCCTGTTTGCATTCCACCTCATATATCATCCTTCATTCATATCATATCACATCCACATAAAATCCTATCATCACTTGGCTCCTCTTGTCTAGAGAGATGTGTAAATCTCGGATTTGTGCCTTCACTTGTTTTTGCCCTTCCACCAATGTAAGCATCGTCGAGTAACATTGCCTCTCCTTTAGGGTTACTTCGGCTACCTCCCTCTTAGCTTGATGAGCTACTGCTGTTATTGAATTGAGACTCTTGGTGGTGCCATCGAGGTTGTTATCAAGACTTGTGATCTTCTCATCTAAGTGATTGTCCATCTCCTTGGTAGAAACTTTGGTAAAGTGTATCGCTCTCCTATTGTCTTCAATGGCCTCGCCTTGCTTCTTCAAATCTTCCTCCATGTCCAAGCATCTTGACTCTACTCTCTCTATTTGGGTAGAGAGTTCTCCAAGTCTTCCATCTAGTTCGTATCGCGTGAACTCTAGCTTTGTCTCAATGTCGCGGCTAGTTTTTCTTTGGCTCTCCATGAAACCCTCAAGCACGGCATCGAAATGGCTATCTCTCCGCCTATTGAGAACATGGTCGTGGTGTGAATGCAACACTGGTCTAGGTGGTTGATGATAAACCGGAGGTCGGTTTTGATGATGATGGTAATGATGCTCGTCTCGGCTAGGTCCTTCAAACGTCGGATGAGCGCGGTTGGGAGGGAACGGATGTGGCACGATGCTTACGGCTGGGTCTTGGTAACTCCGGCCGTGGAGATCGTGTGGGATCAGTGTCCGGTTCCCAAAGTGGATGTTGGTGTTGTGATTCATCTCCAAGTACCTATAAACACAAGAAAAAAAAGAAAAAGTTAGTATTCGAAAATACCAAGATCTAGACTTAGTTTTAAACAAGACTATGCAAGTGTTTATGATGCAATCCCCGGCAACGGCGCCAAAAACTTGATGCGGCATCTATGGGATGAGTACAAGTAATAATTCCCTAAGACAACTAGTGTTGCAAGTGCACAACATATAATTGTAGTATTTAGGGGTCGAACCACAAGGGATTGGATTTCACACATTACATAATCATAGAGTTTAAATGACTAAGCTAAATCAAAAGATGCAAGGGTTTGTGTTTGTTTAGAACACGCAAAAGAAATAACAATGCAATTCTATACAAGCAACATTATTGAACTATTGAAAACTCTTTTGAAAACATGAGCCAAGTCGATTGAAAAGTTTGTTAAAATCCGATTCTTTTGAACTCAAAACACTAAGGAAGGATTATTCCACTTTCGTGGTTCCAATCCCCTATGTCTCTTAAACCAATGGGCTCAGCTTTCGTTGGTCATTGTAGAGTGAGACATGCATTACATCCAAGTAATGATTGTTCACAAAACTCTTTAGGTCTACTTTCGTAGCCTAAAACGATTTGCCCATCAAATACTATATCCGGAGATATAACAAGCTTTTGGAGAGTATATCAACCTAAAATCAAGTCACTAGTTAGCTACTCTAGCAACAAGCATTAAGCATAAATAAAGATGGAGAACCATAGGGTTTCCCCTTTTAACAATCGATTTTCGATGGCCATTATATCACGTCCTCATTGGAAGGATCCATAATTCAACAATGAGTCTTAGATAGTAGATGAAGTCTCATGAATCCTTAGAGAGAGAGGCGGCGGAATATGGACTAAACCACGCCTCACCCTTAGGGAGAAATCTCTACTTCTAGACTATATAAATTGAAACATGCAAGCTATATACAAATGCAAAAGAAGAAAAGAAAGAAGAAGGAGACCACCTAAGTGGCTCCGAACTTTATTGAATAAGTGTTTCTTGTTATGCGGCTGGTGATTCTTATTACAAGAGGCTAAAAGCAAGTATATATAGGTAGAGAGCGGGTCTAGGTCGGCAAAGTTGAGCGCGCGCAGAAGAGGAAAGTTTCCATTTCTCTTTAGCCGCTTGAGCTTGCTCTCCAAGTTCTTGAATGGGCCGCGTTCAGGCCAATGGAAGCTTCTGGATTGAGTTATGCTAGTGTCAAGATGAGCCAAGGCCTTGGGCGCGGTATCCGGGCCTCTTGATCCATCAAAGTCTCCATGGGCTCTACTTAGGCGCTCGTCGGACATGTCTTGGTAGAAAATAAGTTCCGGTCCAACGAGTGATCCAAATGACCTCTTTCCACTTCGCCGCGGGTCATGACTCAAATATCTATCTTTCCATATAAGAATCATGACTTTTGGACGTCGGGAAGGCATGAATATGCGGTCGTACTTCGGATGCTCCGGTTTGGTCTTTAGCGAGAAATGTAGATTTTGGTGCTCTAGACTTGGGAACTTGGTGATTTGACTCTTTTTGCTCCATTTTGGACTCTTCTTTGCTATTTTGACCTGAATGATGCTCAAAACCAGAATATACAAGAAAACTACCTCTTGGGCTTAAAAACCACATTATTTGTATTAAAAACATAGTGAAAACCTTGATAAAAACATGAAAGATATGGGTATATCAGGCAGTAGGATCATTGCTCAAACTAACCCATCCAACACCTATGAAACAATGAGACATTCGCAGAGGCTTGGGAGAGGTTCAAAGGCTACACAAGTCAGTGCCCACACCATGGATTCAACAATGAATCCCTACTCTCCACTCTTTATAGAGGATGCTTGCCTAGGTATAGGGAGATGCTAGACACAGCTAGCAATGGGAACTTCCTCAACCAGGATGTAGATGATGGCTGGCAACTTGTGGAGAACATAGCTAACTCAAATGGAAGCTATGGAGAAGAGTATGATCGCACCAACCGGAGCTCGACCCACCACTCGATCGAGTCAGACGAAAAGTTGAGAAAAGATGTTAAGGCATTGAATGAGAAGTTGGATAAGCTGATCCTAGCTCAGTCCACAATGAAGAAAGTCAACTTTGTGTCTGCTGAGGAGATGGAACCAGTCCAAGAAGGGGAGGATACACAATTTGCTGAGGTGTGCTACATGAGCAATGGGCAAGGAGGTTACAACAAAGGATACTATAATTACAAGTCCAACCCTGCCATGTCATACCGCAACACTGATGTTGCTAACCCTCAGGACCAAGTATATCCTCAACAACAAGCAGCTCGATCGAGTCAGGTGCCACAACATGGGTATGGTCAAAAGAACAATTACCAAGGACCACAAGGCACTTTCCCTGGACAACAAATGAATATCCCACCAGGCTTCCCCCACCAACCGCCCCAGCCTGCACCTTCACAAGAGAATGAGCTCAAAGCAATGCTAAAGCAACTACTTCAAGGGCAAGCTGATGGGGTAGTGGACACAAGCAAGAAGCTAGCTGAAATAAACTCTAAGATCGAGAACCTCAACACAAGGGTTTACTCTCTGGAGAATCATGCTTCTTCTGTTGCTGCTGCTACAAAGCAAGGACAACTACCTGGTAAAGCTATTCAGAACCCCAAGGAACAGTGCAAGGTCATCTTCACTCAAGAAGGACTTGTTGAAGAAGAGGATCAAGAAAGGGTCATTGAAGATTTTTGTTTACTGCTGAATGATGAAGAGATTGTTGCTGCTGAGGCTCCTGGAGTCCAGATTGATCAACCAGAAGTGCATGCACCTACTGTGGCCATTCACACTTCACCAGTTGAGCTCGCACGACAAGCTCGATCGGCAGCTCGATCGAGTCCAACTCTAGCTCGATCGAGTCCGACCTCTTCTGTCCGACAGCCTGTTTTGCTTGATCCTTATCAACCGGTTGCCGCTTCCTCGTCTCGCCTACTTAGTCAAGGTCACAAGGAAGTGATTCACAAGTTCAGAAGAGATCTCAGTGGGATTGGAATTGAGTTGCCTCTATGGATAGCATGAGTGAGGCATTTGATCAAATGCAAATGGTCAAGGATGTTCTAGCCAACAGTGATAAAGTTTCAGAGGTCCTACAAGAGTCTACTCATCAGTTCAACCTGCTTACTTCACCCACCTTCCTACCAAAGGTCAAGGATCAAGGGAAATTCACTCTCCCTTGCACACTTGGGCATCTTGAGATTGACAATGCCTTAGTGGATTCTGGAGCAAGCATCAATCTGATCTCTCTCTCCATGGCAGAGAAGCTAGGCATTGCTGGAGCCTTGCAGCGCCCTACTACTTCAATCATGTTTGGAGATGCAACTTCTAAGTCTCCTCTTGGAGTGTTCAAGAACTATCACTTGAAAATTGGAGAATGCATCATCCAAACTGATCTCACTGTGATGGAAATGGAAGAAGAGAAGGATTTGCCTTGTTATTGGGAACCCCTTTCCTTAGTACAGTTGGCGCTTCAATAGACTTTCACAAGCAAGAAGTGATCCTTCACAAGGTGAATAGTTTGGTGTCATATCGCTTGCAGCCTAGAGGTTCAGACTTTTGTGCCACAATTGACAGTACCAATCTCAGTTCTAAGAGTCATGGAGCTACAAAGGTTGTGAAGGAAAGGGTTGACAAGGAACCAAGAGTTGGGAAGGATAAGGATGAGAGAGGACCAAGGATTGAGAAGCCACGTCTTGAGAGGGCTAGAGTTGAGAAACCACGATCTGATAGGCCAAGAGCTGAGAGACTTGTTCAAGCCCCTTGTGTGCTTGATGAAGAGAGCCTTCAAGCTTTGTTTGATGAGCCACTAGGAAGGGCTCTAAAGAAGGGGAGGATGCAGCCTCTAAGGCAAGACCAGGAGATAAAAGAAAGGATCCACCAGCTCAGGCCCCTTCAGTCAAGCCATCTCAGCTCACAATGACTTTGTTCCCCACCAAGTTTGAAAATGGGAAGATTGAGTACAAGATAAGGTACAAGGGGAGATCAAGGCCATTCTCTAGAGCCAAGGCCTTGGTGACTTCAGAACAGTCCAGGGACCCAACCAAGCTAAAGGAGCTTCTGTCTCAAGTCCTCACTATCACCCTTGATGGTGGGACTAGCTCAACCAATGCCTAAGAAGGTAAAGGTCAAGCTATGGGACCTTAAACAAGCTCACTTGGGAGGAAGTCCCATGTTTATCCTTGTACATATTCTATTTATGCAATTTCTATCTATTTTGTGTTTTAACCTTTGAATAAGTTAAGTTTAGGTGTCAAGGAGCCAGCTCGACCGACAGCTCGATCGAGCTAGAAACCAGGGCAACTCGATCGAGTTCCACAACTCGACCGAGGTAAGTTTTTGAATTTCAAATTCTAACCGTTTTCTTGGTCAAGGGAGTGGGTCCCACAAGCTGAATTTTGGTCCCCCACTACCCTAATTTGATCAGAAAAACCCTAGCTTCTTGTCCCCCTTTATTTCACCTTTTAATCTCAACCACACATCTCAAACACTCCTCTTCCCCATAACTCGATCGAATCCACTTGATGTTACTGGTTCAATTAGTTTGATTAGCATCTTTCCAGCTCTTACTGCTTGAATTAGGTTCGGTTATACTCTGTTTTCACCCAGCTCGATCGAGTTTGTCACTCGAGTTTTTTGACTCGATCGAGTTGAGTGTCGAGTTGGCCGAACCAACAATTGCAACTCTAATTCTTTGAGTTTTTGATCCATCTCAGGAATCCAACTCCAAGAGGCAACAAGTTGAAGATGTTGAGAGGTGAAGGAAGCCAAGCAGCATTCGGGAGAAAGCAAAGGGCAGAGAAGGCAAGAAGAATGAGAGAAAGGATGTCCATAGATGAGGGGTTGGAATATGTGAGATCAAGGGAAGAGGTCAATCAAGAGATTGAGGAGAATGAGCATGGGAGCAATGAGAATGTGCCCATGGAAGAGAGGAGTCAGAGGAAGAGAGGATGAGCTCCCCATGTACCAAGAGCATTATGATGCTCTCTTCTCCATGGACTTCATGGACACCAAGTACCCACATGTTGACACATGAAGGCCCTTGGAATCTTTGAGGATGTGGAGCTAATTCTCAAGAACATGCACTTGGCCAAGCTTTTCTCTTACCACATGGAATCCTACAAGGAGCTCACTTGTGAGTTCTTAGCTTCAATGAGGTACCACATGTATGAAGAGGAAGATAGAGCTGATTTGGACCAAGGATTGGGATGGATCACGTTCTTGGCTAAGGGAGAGAAGAGAATGGTGACCTTTAGGCAGCTGGAAATCTTGTTTGGGTTCAACTATGGAGAGGGACCAAGTGGAACTTCAAGGAAAAGGAACTCCAAAGGGTTTGGGCTACAATCGCTGATGGAGTGTACTCTTCCTCAAGGTCCAAGGCAGCTCAGATCAGGAGCCCAGTCTTGAGGTATGTGCACAAGGCACTTGCCAACACCTTCTTTGCAAGGAAGGCGACCGGGACAATCAACGAGGGGGAACTCAAGTTTCTTGACATGGGAATCAAGCCCCTTCTCTCACGCACAAGCGATGGCAAGAGGATCAGGGGAGATAGATCTGACACAGGGAACTTGATGCCTTCCTTGACCATCTCCTTACCTACAAGATCACAGCTTACAACACTAGGCATCAACGAGGGAAGGCGTCTAAGTGTTGGAGGACTCATCACACCTATCTTGTGTGCTGCTGGAGTGAACCCAACTGATAAGAGAGCCACTGAACCAGGTTGGATGGACATCAAGTTTTGCAAGACCAACCTTCTCATTGAGCACAAGGAGTTGGATGGGAGATTCCAATTCAAGTTCACACATCCATTGGTTGGACCCTCCAAGTTCTCCTGCCTAACCCAGAGCTCACCACAGTAGTAAGGGGTGAGAACATTGACTTCAGACCCCCTGTGTACACATTAGTTGGGCATGAGGATGATGCGAGAAGAGGAGCCTGAGCTCGATCGAGCTGAGGATCGAGCTGAAGATAAGGCCAGGAGAGTGCGGATTTGGGTGAGCCTGAGTGCTATTACTTTGAGGAGTATGAGGCTCCAAGGATGAACCCCTCTGTTGTGGCTGCCACAAGAGGATTGGACTTCTCCAAAAGTTCAACAAATGGCAAGGGAAAGCCATTGAGAAGATGCAAAAGTCCATGGACAAGATGGTGAGCAAGATCAAAAGTTTGGAGAAGAAGGTTTCTGGTTCTTCAAGCAAGAAGAAGAAGTCCAAGGCCCCCACATTCCCTAGGAGTAGATCTCTCCTCACCACCCAAGGAGGCTCCCTGCCCAAGAGCCTCACAGAGCCTCTTCTTTCGAGCCAAGGGAAGGAGAAGACAACACGCAGAGAAGGAGGAAGAGTTCCAAGGCCAGACGCTCCAGCTCGACCACCGGACTCGATCGAGTCCAAACAGAGGAAACTCAACTCGATCGAGCTGACGGTCGAGTTGACCTGGAGGAGCCCCAGTTCGAGAATCCGGGATTTGAGTACGATCCCAGCCTTACCAGGACTCCCAGAGTAGATGGAACCCCTATGGACAGTACGAGCTACCAATGCTCCACCAAGGCCAAGGAAGCCACACACTTTGAGATGAAGAAGAGGAGGAAGAGGAGCCGCAAGCTCGATCGAGTGAGCCACAAGAGGCAACCCCAGTTGCATGGAGTGCTCCTGATGGCCGTCTCCCATCTCCAGACCACGACCTAGTCTCCCAGTTCTTTGGGGGACACTGAGGTATCCAAACACCAACCCTTGTATATACCATTTCATATTTTCTTGCATTTGTTCTTGTTTTTTCTTGGTTTTGCCCTCTTGAATCTTTCACTAAATTTTTCTCACACAAGGGACTGTGTGATTTAAGTTTGGGGGAGGGTTCAAGAGATGATTTAACCTTGTTTTCTTTGTTCTTAGTTTTTCATTTATCTTTTGCATAGAAAAACCAAAAAAATCATAAAATTTTCAAAAAATCCAAAAATATTTTCATCTTTTTGCATTCATATTTGTTAGACTTGTTTAGGATTGCATTTTTCACTTGCATTGTTGATTTGACTTTGAAAACTTGTCCATCTTTTGCGATTTCTTGAGTGCCCTGTTTTTAGATTCTTTTGTGCATTAGGGTGAGATTGATTGAGCAGCAAGAACCATGTTTATCTTGATCATATCACTGCATGCACATCTCATTCAACCATTGCTGTGATTTGATGCATTTCCCTATCTATTTGAACCATAACTTGATCTTTAATTACCAATGCTTGCATTTGATTTCAACTCATGGCTACCACATACATATCTGGACATTCTTTACCATTTTCATATCCCTTTGCTTGTCCAGATAGCTGATCTCTATCTTTGAGACAGTTACCACACCTTAAACCTAAGCCTTTTCATTTCAAACCCCATATTATCTCTTGTGCGAATTGTGAGAACCTTTCTTGGCTTTGCTTAGCATAAGGTGTTGTGTTTAAACCGGCAGGGGCAGTAGTTCTAGTTGTCTAGTTCTCTTGGGATTGTTTTCAGGCTAAGTTTGGGGGTGCCAACTCGAGCTCGATCGAGTTGGGTGTAAAAACCAGAAAAGTGGTAAAAGTTGGGAAAAACCCAAAGGAAAAAGAGTTTGGTTAAGTCCAGGGAGTTGGCAGTGTTTAAAAGGGTCTAGTAAAGGTTTGGGAAGTTAAAAAAGGAAAGTAAAAAGGGTTCTAAGTAGAATGAAAAGAAGGCAAAGCCTCAAGTGTCAAAAAGGAAAGAAAAGTTCCCTAAGTGTTTAGAAAATCCCAAACCGCTAGATGTTACCTCAAGAAGCCTCTCCCTAGGAAGTTCTTAAAAGAAAAGTGAGCAAAGCTCCTCAGTTTCAAAGGCGAAATGCCAAAAAGGGTAGTTAGGATTTTGTTCTAAAAAGCTCTAAGTGTTGAACTCGATCGAGTTAGGATTAGGCGGCTCGAGCTGCTGTTCTTGCATCATCTTTGGTTCTAACACTTAGCCTTCTGCCAAAGCAAAGCCACTTTCTTGAGAGATCCCTGTTACTAAACCACCATACAAAAGAGACCCTCTTTGTCTCTTAACCCATAAACCCTTGAAACCAAATGAGTTGATTGATCTTGCATGTTTTTGGTTCACTGTTTTTGCTTAATGAATGTTAAAGGGATTTGCTGATTTGAATGCATTGTTTGAGTGACTGTGAAGTGGGATTGATGTTGATAAGCATGGTTAAATCTTAATGAATATCTCTCACCTTGTTGCATTCTAGAATCTCTAAGTTGGACATTTAGCAAATCGCTTTTGAGGACATGTTTTTAAGTGTTGAATCAGCTTTTTTCAAACCTCATCTCTTTCTTGTTCTATTTGTTTGCTTGAGGGCAAGCAAAGTTCAAGTTTGGGGGTGTTGATGTACTTGCATTTTACATAGTTTTAGCACATCTTTTATGCATCTTTTGCATAGTTTTAGCTTCCATTTGCATCATATCTTGTTCCTTTTCTCTTCTTATGCATTCATGTTAGTTTTAGGTTGCATTTGCATACATATGCATGTTTGGTCCTTTGAAATAGGTCTTTTGGAGCATTCTGGAGCATATGGGACAAAGGAGCATGGAGGGACTTGGCACATGGAAGCAGCTCAACTGGATACGCAAAGGAAGAAGGGAGAAGCCATCTTGAAGACCAGCTCGACCGTCCACTCGACCAACCGGTCGAGTTCCTCAACTCGGCCAAGCTTCAACTCGATCGAGCTGGAAGTCAAAGTCAAACCCGAAAAATGTTGCTTCCCCCTTGACTTCCTTTGACCCTAAACCTAATCCTCTTTGTATTTAAAGGCTCTAAGCCACGAAAAAACCACCAAGCTTTAGATTATTTTGTTTTAGTTTCTTTTAATTTATTGTCTTTTACTTTTTAGAGATCTAATCCCATCTTTGTGTTCTTGAAGCTCTTGCTTCTTGAATCCTAGATCCTGGATAATCTCTCTTGTATTTGCACTTGCTTATTTCAATAAAAGTTGTTTAATTTCATCTCCTCTTTCTTATGATGTCTCTTTTATTGCATTTGCTTGTGTTTACATTCATGTGTAGTGAGTAGTTACCCATTAGGGTTTGAGATGGGATAGATTAGAGGTTTCATATGCTTAATCCTTCTAGCTTATGGTCTTAATCTAGATTCTCTCTCTTTTGGATAGATCTTAAGGCTACATGACCACTACCCCTGGCTTGTAAGTCCTTAGGCGACTCCCCACACGAAGTGATGGCATTCGCTGGAAAAGATCCACTAAGAGCTCCAATATCTCTTGCTCTAGAAATAGAGGTCTAAGGGGTTGGATGGATTAGTTTGGGCAATGATCCTATAGCCTCCAAGGTTTGATTCTCACTGGCTAACCCCCTGTTTCTGAGATCATTCCTTGGTTGATAGCCTCACCTTGGGAAAGGGTTGGCTAGGCATTGAGAAGCCCAATATCAAGAGAAGCCTTGATACAAGGAGTTTTAAGAGCTAGATTGATTAAGTGTAGATTCCTTTGATTGCAAAACCCTGTCTTGAACCCTAATTCTCTCTTTATCTTGTTAAAGTCGTCACCTTTAGCTTTGTTTGTCTCAACTCGTCCCTAAACTCGATCGAGCTGGTACTTTGCTCTGACTCGACTCGAGCCTTGGTCGAGCTGTACTTCACTGCTTTCTTTACTTTTATTGCACTGCTTTTCATTTTTTTAGGTTGTTAGTGTTACTTCAAATCTATAACTGCTTGCTTGACTTTCTGGTTGTTTCATATTCTCATAGAGTGACAAGTTTCCCATTTTGGATTGATAACCCTTTGTACTACATCAACTATCATGGTTAAAGGGAATTGTTGACTGTGTTTGTGTTTGCATCTTACCACCTCATCATATACCACTGATTGCATTCCACCATCTCATTTCATATCTTTTCACATCCACACACAAATCCTATCATCACAAACACAAGGGAAATAGCCTAGATCTAAGGTTCAAGGAGCATGAAGCTCAAGAACAAAAAGAAAGGCTTAAGAGTTGCAAAAAGTAAAATACAAGATTAAAGAAAAGCAAAAGCAAAAATAAGCTAAAGATTGTTGTCTTTTTCGTGGCTTAGACCCTTTAAATACAAGGGAGATTAGGTTTAGGGTCAAAGGGAAGTCAAAGGGGAAGCAACATTTTTCGGGTTTGACTGTTGACTCCTCAGCTTGATCAAGTTGGAACTTGGCCGGTCGAGTTCCTGAACTCGACCGGTTGGTCGAGTAGCTGGTCGAGCTGACTTCAAGATGACTTCCTCCTTCATCCTATGCGTGTGTGGTTGAGCTGTGTCCATGCACCAAGTCCTTCCTTGCTCCTTACGTCCCAAATGCTCCAAAGTGCTCCAAAAGACCTATTTCAAGGACCAAACATGCATATGTATGCAAATGCAACCTAAAATTACTATTAATGCACAAGAAGGGAAAAGGAACAAGATATATTGCTAATGGATGCTAAAACTATGCAAAAGATGCATACAAGATGTACTAAAATCATGCAAAATGCAAGTACATCAGAATGTTGGGAAATCGCTTGAAAAGGTCCACTAAGAGCTCCAATATGCTTGCTCTCGAAATGGAGTTTATAGGTGTTGGATGGGTTAGTTTGAGCAATGATCCTACTGCCTCTAAGGCTTGATTCTCACTGGCTAACCCCCTGTTTCTGAGATCTTGCCTTAGATGATAGCTTTCACCTTGGGAAAGGGTTAGCTAGGCTAGAGAAGCTCAATACCAAGAGATAGCTTGAGTACAAGTGGTTAATGAGCAAGATTGATTAAGTATAGTCTTCCCCTAGTCGCAAGACCCTGTCTTAGACCCTAGCCTTCGTATTATCGTATTAAAGTTCTCATCTTTATCGCTTTTCCTCTGTTTTTACGCTAACTCGACCCTCAACTCGATCGAGCTCAGTTACTCTGTTTCTACTCGATCGAGCCCTTAGTCGAGCCGCTTTCATTTACTGCTTTCTTTTACTTTCTGCATTGCATTTCATTTCATTAGGTTGCTAGAGTTACTTCCCATCATCTTTACTGTCTGCTTGACTTCCTTGTGTTTGCATAAATTCAAAGAGTAGCAACAAACACTTATGGATTGATAACCTCTTATACTACATCGACTATGATGGTTAAGAAGAATTGATTGATTGTGATTGCACCATACCATCTCATCTTTATGCACCACTGTTTGCATTCCACCTCATTCATATCATATTCATTTCACATCACCATGAAATCCTATCATCAGACCCTTCAACCAATTTGATTCATGGGAGGGACTAATAATATTCAATAATTTTTAGTAGAGTCAAGAGACTGTTTGCAGTTCTTTGTTCTCAATGCAGTCTATGTTCTCTACATCATGCTGAGAAAAAATCAAAACTTTCTCTGATCAATATGCTTATTAGATTCTGATGAAACGAAATCTAGTGTCTGTTTCATTTGTTGTTGGTATGGTTATTTACTGAAATTCACATTTCATAAATTCCAGTTTCGTCCATCAAGTCAGCAGCCTACTCATTTCCATTGTCACCATTCTCTGCAACTTAAAACTGATAAAGGTAAGCTCTTTTTCCTTACATTTAGTTGTTTCGTGAGTAATAAACGACATATATTCAAAGCATAACCCATAACACAAGTTTCTGTTCATGAGCAGTGACAGCCACTTCCTCGTCTCTCTCGTCGTCGTGCTCTCTTCTTCCTTCTCAATGTCTCTCCTTTTCTATCTTTCTTTCTCTCTCTCCGTCGCTGTGACCAATTGGTTTTTAATATGGGTTTTGTTCGTGAAAGTTACAGGGCCAAACAGGCGAATGCAATGGAAAAGAACGAAAAGGTTGGTCTTGAAACTTCTCTTTTTTGCCGTTCAAGTTCGAATCAACTGTGAATTACAGAGGATACTCAATTTATAACTTATAAGCGGAGTGAATCTGAGGAAAACAAGACCAATGAACTATGCATAGATAGTGTTTGATGAAATGCTTGAATGAAACTTGAAACTTTGTTTTAAGCTATTACTCTAAGTCAACTTAAAACACTATGTGTTGGTTTATCTTCTTCTTCTTCTGTTTTTATCGCACAAAGGCGGTTCTCAAGAAAGGTGGCTGTTTCTGGTGTTATCACGATGGGATTTGAAGTGAAGCCTCCTCCATATCCTCTTGTACGTTTTCTTGAATTCGTTATCAAGATTTGGAAATGAGTAAAGTTAAAAAAAGGACCCATCTTTTTAGGTTTGAATTTTGGTTGACATAAAATAATGTCATTGGACTAGTGTTTGCATCATCTTGTTAGTTAGATTAGACTGTGAAGACTGACGAAAAAATATGGTTTTAAAAGATGAATGTGAGAACAACAAATAGGACACTATGTTATGAAAGATATGTTTGGGTTGCTCACTTTGTGTCTGTCTTTGGGCATCTTGATCTTTGGCAGGATGCTCTGGAGCCGCATATGAGCAAAGAAACATTGGATTATCACTGGGGAAAACATCACTGACTTAGTGTTTTTGTTTCCTCTTTATACCAAACAGCAGGCTTACTATCTAGATTTCGAGGTATAATCATCAAATGCTGAATGATTTTTCAGTAAATTTCGGAAGCAGTGGTTCTAATGTAGTCTTGTGTTTCTGCGCAGAACCGAAGAGCTGAATTCATCAATACATACATGGAGAAACTTGTGTCATGGGAAACCGTAAGCACAAGGCTAGAATCTGCAATGGCTGGAGCAGCCAAAGGAGAAAAAGAAGGATCAGATACAGAAGATGAAGAGAATCAAGATGATGTAGAGCCTGAAGTTTACTTAGATAGTAACATCAATGTATCTGAGGATTCATTAAATGAATCTGATAAGTAATAATAACATTACCATCTGAATGAAAATGTCTATTACAGAGAGCTTGCTTATTGAGCCTAAAATCTAAACAACAAAGGTTCTTGCTGTTACATGTGTTATGTCTTCATGCTAAGCCCTTTTATATTCTAGAGTATTCAAACACTAAACTGTAAACCCTAAATTTAAAATAGTTTGCTAGAAAAATATCTCATTTGTTGCAAAATATGACACATAATAGTATTCAAACGTATAGAGTATTTAAACCCTAAATTGTAAACTCTAAACTCAAAATAGTTTGTTAGAGTGTACCTTATTTGTTGCAAAATATGACACATCACATTAAGTATTTAAACCCTAAATGGTAAACCCTAACCTCAAAATAGTTTGCTAGAAGTGTATCTCATTCGTTGCAAAATATGACACATAATAGTACTCAAACACATAGAGTATTCAAACCCTAAACTGTAAACCCTAAACTCAAAATAGTTTGCTGGAAATGTACATCATCCGTTGCAAAATATGACACATAATAGTACTCAAACGCATAGAGTACCTAAACCCTAAACCGTAAACCCTAATCTCAAAATAGTTAGAGAACCTTAAGTAGTTAATCTTCTTTAAGTGCTATTTGGACTTTACCTCATAATAGTATTAAAACTTATAATAGTAAAGATTTGATGCCAAAAATAAGCCAAACCGTAAACCCTAAACTGAAAATAGTTAGAGAACCCCAAATAGTTAATCTTGTTTACCTGTTATTTGGACTTTTGCCTCATAATAGTATTCAAATCCCTAAGAGCATTCAAACCCTAAATCCTAAAGAACATATTGATTTGATGCCAAAAATATGCCTCTTAACAGTACTCATAGAATATTCAAACCCTAAACCATAAATACCCTTGTGAAATTTGTTTATGCGAAATTGATTTACAAATATCCCTAAACCGTAAATACCCAAATGAATTTTGTTTATGCGAAATTGATTTACAAAGATCCCTAATCCCTAAATCGGTTTAAAACCTATGAAAATGAGATAGAGAAGAATAAATCTACCACTTACAACAAGTCTACCATCTGAACATTAATCTACCATCATTAGTCATCGAAAACCCATATGAAATTCTGTTTTCTATGTTTCAGGTGTTGCCAAATCTACCGTCATTATCAATAACTCTACTAGAAAAATCGATAATCTACCGTCAAAATGAATAACTCTACTGCACCAACATTTGTCTACCATCATTGCGGGAATATCTACCATGACTTAATGTCTATCATCAATACAAATAACTCTACCGCTGTAAAATAAATCTACCATCTGTAACATCTGTAAACCTGAGAAGTGTAATTTCTGGGTGGTGTCGAGCGACACAAAAGAGTTGTGTCGGTCGACACAGACCCGGGTTCGCGATTCCCGATTCGATTTGAGTGAAATCGATTTTTGGTTTAGTCGGTTAAGGGTTGGGAACCCTATTTGACGAATAAAAGGATCAACAGCCACCTCCTTTTTGTCGTTTTGCGGCTGGTGTTTGTGAGAAGAAGAGAGGCTGAGTTCCTGAACGAATTTTGTGGTGAATCCGAGCTTCTAGAGGCAGATCGAAGTGTCGTTCGTTGTAGTTCATCGCCATCTCTCCTTCTTTCCCTTCCAATTCGTTTATAGAGGTGAGTGCATGACTGTAGGTCTGCGGTTTGTCTAGATTCGGATTCATTGATTGTTGTTCATGTTGTGTTCATGTGGTTTGAGTGATTTCGTGCTATTGTGGTTGAATCGTGGTGAATTCGTTGTTTCCTGTAAGTTTTGTGCTGTTTCGTTGATGTTGGTGGCAGGCTCTGAAACGTGTGTCGAGCGACACAAAGCTTGTGTCGGTCGACACAAAGTGGTCCGTGTCGACCGACACAAATCTTGTGTCGCTCGACACAGTCCGGTTCAACCCGGTTTAAATTGATTTAATTGGTACAATTGAAATTAAATGGTTTAATTGAATTGGAATTGGTTTGGTTGAATTAATTGGTTTAATTCTAGTATTTAATTAATTATTGAGTATTTAATTAATTAAATGATTTAATTATTAATTATTTTAATTATGGAAAATTATTATTTAGTTATTAAGGATTATTTAATAATTGAAAAATGGTATTTAATCATTATTGGAGTTTATAAATATTATTAAATATCTAGTAAATTGTGTAAATGGCCTATAGGCAGAGTGATTGCCTCACTAAGTATTTATTAAATAGTTATGCAACTCCATTCCAATGTGTTGCAGTAAAAGATTTGTGTGATCACGGAATCAAGGCTGAAGAGGGGGATGATAGGATGTTTATTGTTTCTTTGTTTTGCGTTATTTGACTTGCTAGTACCTGGTGTTTAGGTTGCTAGTATTTCTTTTATTATTTTATTTGAATTCATTTGTTGAACCTGAGTTATTATTTATTTTGTTTAAAGACTTCGACTGAATTGTTATTTAATTGATTTATAAAAAAAATGTTGGTTGTTTCATTTTGGTATCAGAGCCAAGATGTTAGAATTGTTAGGCTTTAGTATCATTCCCTTCAGCCAATGGAGATTCTGCGGTAAATTTTGGTGTTTCTGCCTTTGTGTTTATTGTCTAGTTGCTCATGTCGGGTCCATGCAGTGAGATGGACAGGGCTCATAGAGCTCGTGGCGCGAGAGGGCGCAGTGCTAGATGCCGTGGTGGCAGAGCGAGAGGGCGTGGAGGCCGGGGCCGAGGTCGTGGTGTTCCGGCGGATTCGGGAGAGAGTGTGGCGCCTAGTGGGGCGACTGCGTCGGTGAACCAGTCAGTATCCATGGCGGGTGAGCCCAGTGGGGATGCTAGTGTTGGTTTGGGAGCGGGGGCTGCTCCGGGTGGGGGTGGCGCTCCGGCTCCGGGTCGTGATGGTTGCTGACGCAGCTATTGGCTCGTTTTCAGCCAGTGGTTCCACAGGGCGCTCCGGGAGTACCTCCAGTGGCAGGAGTGCAGCATCTGGCTGCAGAGGCTGTGCAGCCGGGGGCTGCATATTGATATACCTCTATTTTCCATACTTTTTATGCTATTTTACTATGGTTTTCTAATGGTTTTCTAGTGGATTCTTGTCTTAAAAGGTAGTTTTGATGGATTTATACTGCAAATAGTCATTTTAGGTCAAAAGGTGCATTATGGAGCAAAACAGAGGATTTAGATTTCAAACCAGTCCATTGTCACAGCTTCTACTTTGGGAGGAGCTAAAAAAAGATCTACTCAATGGATTTCATCAAGACCAGTTCCCCGCGTGCTCTGAGTGAGTTAACTCTCAACCGCAATTGGATTGGCATCATTTGGATAAGTAGAATTCAAGTTATGATCATATTTGGGAAGACTGGTCAAGAGAGCCTTATCGAGCATTCGCATCCTGATCCGCGCACACCGGCCGATCGAGGAACGAACGTACCGCGATCATGCCGCGAATATCATCCGCGTCCCGCCAAGTCCACGGCCGATCCCACGTACCGACCCGGGAGGCATCGTCCCGCGGTCGGCCAAATCACTTTCACATGCCCGAAGCTGCGCACGACCACGCCGCGCGAACAGGAAGACAACGCCTCGCGGCGGCGCGGCACAACTCATGTACCGCGGCCGACCCATCCATCCGACCAAGAAGGTTTCGCCCCGCGACCGGCCAAGATTCATCGGCCAAAACCTTTCATCCATCCGACCCCGTCGGCCGAACACGAAAACTCTCGGCCACGATCGTTCCGACCGTGCCGATAGCCGACCACGATCGTTCCGACCGTGCCGATAGCCGACCACGAGCCGACGACCGTCCGAACGGTCTGGTCGACCCGAAGCCGTTTCTGAAGCCCGTTTCAAGCCCAATGCCGGCGCCGACTTACTAGATTTAGGTCTAGCCGCTTTTCTATATTCATAAGCATTATAAATACTTCTTTTTAGCCTTGTAACTCAAGAAGGAGAGAGACCACAATTGACTTTACATCTTTAATAATTTTTTACTTGCTTTTACTTTGTTCTTGCTTGTTCTCTTTCTAGAGAGGATTCGAATCTCTGTTCTCATGAATATGAATTTGTTTTCCTTTTCTATGTCTGAGTAGTTTACTTGTTAAGTGATAGGAACTTATAATCTTCATCTTTTCTTATACTAAATGCTTGTTGTTAATCTGGCCAATTAGCATATGATCTAAGGTTGATTTGAGACTTAAAAGTGTTGTACCATTCGCCTGAACTAGTATTTGGTGGGCAACCTCTTTTAGACTGCGAAAGTTGATTTACTTGTAGGTTGTGAACAATTGAACTTAATCGAACTAATGCTTGATTTAATCACCTAAGACATACCAAAAGTTTAGCGACTAGGGAGGTTAACAAAGGGGTCGGAGCCACGAAAGTGGAAAGATCATACCATAGTGTTTCGAGTTCTAGATGGCACCTAATTACAATAACCCTAATCAAGCCGCATCACAGAGAAGAACACCTTCTAGCCACACCAGAAGAGGAGATTGACCCTGAGCTGATCGAGTTCGTGAAGAGAGATCAATTCCATGATCTGTTTTCAGAGTATGCGCTGGAGCACATAGATCACTTTGACAATCTTTGTGATTCCTATGGAGTTTTTGACTTTGAGAAGAAGATGATGCTATTCAGCACATCACTAGCTGGACCAGCACTAGATTGGGCGCAGCATGAACCACTCTACAATCGAGTCATGGATCGATTTTAGAGAAGCTTTCTTGAAGAGATTTGCAAGGACCACCTTTCAAATCCAAGTACACCACTACTCTCATCAGCTGGAGAGAGAGCGTGATGAAGAAGAATGGGGAGGCATACCACCCCATCCTGAAGTTGAATGAAGAGCTAATCAAGCATGTGGAGAGGAATCCTTTCTACAATTCTACTTCAGAATGTGCAAAGGAGCATCTATGCAACTTTGAGCAGCTTTGCATGACTATGGACTTGGAGACAACCCCAAGAAGATACAACTTTTCCAACTATCACTAGCTGGACAAGCCAAAGACTGGGCTAAGTTCAATGCCCAACATGCTTTCAAGACTTGGAATGGATACAAAGGAAGCTTTCCTTACAGATTTGCAAAGGTCCTTTATGTTCCACCACCACGCCCAAGCTATTCACACACCATCCATCATCACCAGACATAAACAAGACACCACTTTTCCCAAGGGAGAGTTCAAGCTGCGCCCAAACCAAGATTGAAGAGATGCTTCAAGAGTACTTGAGAAATCAAGAAGAGAGTACAAAGAAGATGGAGAGAAGAATCGATTTCATCCATGAGAGCCTTGGAAACAAATCTGAAGTCCTATTCAAGCAAGTGATCAAGCTTGATGAAGACATTAAGAAGTTAAGAGAGGATCATGATCGATCTCTACCCTAGTTAAGCTTGATGTTGCTTCCAAATATCAAGAGTTGCTGAACAAGAGCATGAGAATTGAAGATACTAGCTATGGCAATAGCAAACATCTTGGATCGATCTACAACCGCCTACAAGCCCTTGAAGGATCATCTCATGCCAATTAAGAGAGAGAGGAGTCCAACACCCAACCACCCTCCCTTTTATTGCAATGCCATCACAAGAAGAAGCACTACTCAAGTCCATGAGGACAATGAAGAAGAAGAAAGAGAGTATGAGGAACAACTAATGATGAAGATGAAGAGCAGAGCATCGACATCAATGCTTCCCCAAAACAGAGCATGGATACACCTAGCCCTAGACCCTCGTTTCTCACCAAGAAGTCAAGCTTCTACACTTCCAAGATTGGAAGCAATGCAAAGACCATCACCACCTACTGAAGAAGAAGATACTTGGCAGTATGATCCCATTGATCCCAACAAGATAAGCCCCATGAAGCTTAAAGAGTTCAATGCTAAGGTGAAATCACTTCCATTCTATGTCACTTTTGAAGAAGCTTGGGATAAACATGGTCTAGTGGAGTTCTTTTTCACAACTAGTGAAAACAAAGAAGAGATACACCAACTTTTTCAGAAGGCACGATTTCCCCTTGCCCCTCATGCAGTCAATCAACCACCATCACCACCATCACACCACCACCGTGGTATGTCAATTCCATATCAAGAGAGAAGCTTGCTGAGTTCAATCAGTTTGTCCAAACTCTTCCAGCCAGCATGTCTTCCAACAAGCTTGGCGCCACTACCCATTCACCACCTTCTTCCACAACTGCAAGAGACACCTGAGGACATAAAGAGCTTTTTGAGAAAGCTAAAGTTCAGCCTACCTTCAAGACCCTCTACAAGATTGAAGACCCAGGTCAATTCTCTATTCCCTGTCAAGTAAATGGTCATTACTTTGATAGAACACTATGCGATTCTGGCTCTTGCATAAACCTCATGCCAACCCAAACCGCCAAACTCCTTGGCATCACACGCTTGCAACCTGCTCAAATTAGTATTGGACTTGCTAACCATACTATAGCCAAGCCAAGAGGAGTTGTTGTTGATGTTCTTCTAGAGATTGGAGATATCAAGATCCCGGTGGACTTTCATGTCATAAACATTCAAGGAGGATGTGACACACCATTGATACTAGGCCGACCCTTTTTGGCCACTGCTGGAGCTGTCATGGACCTTCCAAACAGGCGAATGTCCTTAGCCAATGTTGACAAGACAGTCTTTTACAAGACCATACCATTCATCTCACCAAACAAGCTGTCTTACCTCATCACTGCCCAAGGCCGCCCAAGAGAGCCACCAGACCACACTCAAGGTCACAATGAGACAAGAACTAAAAGACTATGTCTCAGGCCGTGCCCTTACCCCATCTCCAACTAAGAGATCCTATCAGTCAAGCTAATGACTAAAAAGAAGCGCTGCATGGGAGGCAACCCATGAAAGGTGTTTTTCTTTACTTTTCTTTTCAATTAGTTTTAGTTAATGTCTAGTTTTGTTTTGAGTTTTGGAAACAGGAATCTAAGAACCACACAATGGTAAAGAAGATATACCACAAGAAGAATGTTCATAGTTGGCGCGACTTGATGGCCGAGCAGAACCTCTCCACGCTCGCCCATGTCCTCTCAAGCCGCCCAACACACCATCCCATCTCATTCCATCTGCATCTCACCCATCCCACCTCACCACACTTGCATTCCATCACTACCATCATTCCACTGCATTCACCATTCTTCAAGTAACACAAATCAGGTTACATCTTTCTTTTTACATTCACAACCACTTTATTACCTCTTTCTTTAACTCCCTTAATTGGATTTTCTTTCACCGGGACGGTGCAAGTTAAGTCTGGGGGGATTGTCGGTACTAATGTGTTTGTTCATGGTTGTTTTGATCTTATAATTGGTTTTTCCTAACCCACTTTTTCAAAACTTCTGTTTTATTGAGTCAAAACCAGTCCGGGAACAATGAACTTGCTTTGAGATTTGATAGTGTTATGCTAACAATCTATGACCCTAGAGCAAACATCAGCTGAAGGCACAAGCCTAACAGAAGCTCCTAGAGTGGATCGCATGCTAGCTCAGCGAAATTTCTAAGGTAACCAAGCAATCTAGAGTTAACCTCACCCTTAATCAATCTTAATAACTCTTGTCAAGGGGATTGGCATACATGTCGACAGTTCCTTGCTTGATTTTCAATGAGATTTGTCTAAAGAGTTCACCTCTCTCTCCCATCCCAAATGGTAAGAATGTTTATGAGAAAAGCTCAAAGAGCACAAGGAAAACAAGTAAGCATGAGGAATGCATATGTCTGTACCTTCATGTCTTATGGAATACCTTATCAAACAAGGAACAAGCTAAAGACTTATCCTGTGGTTGAAAGAAAGGTCAATAGAAAAAATAAAATGATACCCTAGAAAAGTAGGGAGAAATTGACCTTTCAAAGTTCTGATGTGAGAAAGAGAGAGGAAAGGAACTCATTGCACTTCAAAGACAATCTTGGAGAAGATCAAGTGGGTAAGAACAAGTTCAATTGATCGATTTCCCTTGATAAAGAACTCACGCTTTAAATTTATGCAAGAGGTTAGCAATAGAGAGTTTGGATTGCTGGATGAGACTAGTTGGGTTGGTATTGTTCGCTAAACTTGCAGGGTGTATGTGAAGCTAACCTTATGTTGACTATGTTCTTAGTGGAATACAGGAAAGGAACCTTTCACAGGATTTTCAAAGAAGCAAGAGAGTTCCCACGTTTTTCAAAACCTCTTCACTAGTTTAGATTCTTTTTGCTTGGGGACAAGCAAAGATCTAAGTCTGGGGGAGTTGATATACCTCTATTTTACCACTTTTTATGCTATTTTACTATGGTTTTCTAATGGTTTTCTAGTGGATTCTTGTGTTAAAAGGTAGTTTTTATGGATTTATAGTGCAAAGAGTCATTTTAGGTAAAAAGGTGCATTATGGAGCAAAACAGAGATTTGGACTCTAAACCAGTTCAATGCCCCTGCATCAACTTTGGATGGAGCTAGAAAAAGATCTACTCAATGGATTTCATCAAGACCAGTTCCCTGCGTGCTCTGATTGAGTTAACTTTCCAACGCAACTGGAATGGCTCATTTGGATGAGTAGAAAAGGAGTTATAGCCAAAAGAGTGAAGGCTGCTCCAGACGGCCATATCGAGAATCGCCCGAACGCGCACACCGGCTGGCCGAGGAACGAATGTTCCGCGCTCGGCCAATATCGTCCGACGTCTCGGCCAAAGTCCACGGCCGATCCACGTACACGACCCGGGAAACATTGTCCCGCGGTCGGCCACATTTCACGCCACCGCGCACGACCGCCGCGCGAGCCGGGAACAAGCCTCGCGGCCGCGCAACTCAGTACCACGGCCGATGCATCCGTCCGAGCCGGGAAGTCGTCCCACGTCCGGCCGAGACCATCGGCCAAATTCATCCGCCGACCCGCGGCCGACCGAAATCCGGCCCCGACCGTTCCGACTCGGCCCCAGACCCGACTGTCCGGCCGACCGTCCCGACCGACCGTCCGAACGCCGCGGTCGACCCGAAGCCGTTTTTGAAGCCCAATCCGCACAATTCAAGCCCAAAGCCGGCGCCGACCTAGCTAGATTAGGTTTAGCCGCCTTTCATACTTAGAGCATTATAAATACTTCTTTTTAGCCTTGTAACTCAAGAAGGAGAGAGACCACATTCTATTTTACATCTTAATAAAGTTTTGCTTGCTTTTACTTTGTTCTTGCTTGTTACTCTTTCTAGAGAGGATTCGAATCTCTGTTCTTATGAATATGAATTCGATTTCCTTCTCTATGTCTGAGTAGTTTACTTGTTAAGTGATAGGAAGTCAAAGGATAGCATTCATGTATGCTTGATGATTGATCACAATTAGGGTTTTACTTATAATCTCCATCTTTGCTTATACTTAATGCTTGTTGTTAATCTGGCCAATTAGCATATGCCTTTAGGTTGATTTGAGCCTCGACAGTGCTGTATCATTCGCCTGAACTAGTATTTGGTGGGCAATCTCTTTTAGACTGCGAAAGTTCGAACGGTCTAGTCGACCCGAAGCCGTTTCTGAAGCCCGTTGTAGGTTGTGAACAATTGATCTTATCGAACTAATGCTTGATTTAATCACCTAGGGACATACCAAAAGTTTAGCGACTAGGTAGATTAACAAAGGGGTCGGAGCCTCGACAGTGGAATGATCATACCATAGTGTTTCAAGTTCTAGATTAGCACCTAAGTGCGGTAACCCTAATTGATTGATTTCATGCTTCTTGAATTGCTTATCTCAAGACTATCCTATTGCTTAGCCTTTCTCTCCTATTGATTCTCTCTTTATTACTTGCATGCTTTACTTTCTCTGCACTCAACCAACTTATACTTTTGCCCTAGCTTGTCTCAACTCATAACTTGTAGTGTGCAATCTGGTCCTTGTGTTCGATACCCGTTTACTACTTCTGACCTGTGCACTTGCAGAATCAGGGATAGGAAAGGGGAAGACCTGATCCCGCACATCACTGCTCTAGGGTCATGGATTGTTAGCATAACACTCTCAATTCTCAAAGCAAGTTCATAACTTCCGGACTGGTTTTTGACTCAATAAAACTTTTTGAAAAACTCAAAATGACTAAAACATAAGAAAAGAAAGAAAAAATGCATTAGTAACACAATAAAACTCCCCCAGACTTAACTTGCACCGTCCCGGTGAAAGCAAATCACATTAAGGTGAGAGGTAATATTCAAAACAAAAGAAAATTAAAGAAAGAAATGACCTTCAATGGGTTGCCTCCCATTCAGCGCTTTGTTTAAAGTCTTTAGCTTGACTGTATGGCACTTCCTTAAGGATCTGGTGGATCGCCAAGAGCTAGTGTGGTCTTCTGTGGTATGGTGGTGGAGGCTAGGTAAGGTTTTAACCTTTGTCCATTGACTGTAAAGTCTCCTCCCATCGGATCCCATAATACCACTGCTCCATTGGGGCGAACTTCTTTAATCCTGAATGGTCCTGACCATCTTGAGCGAAGCTTTCCTGGAAAGAGTTTCAACCTTGAGTTGAATAGTAGAACTTGGTCGTTTGGTGCAAAGTTCTTTGGGATGATCTTGCGGTCATGGAAAGCTTTGGTTCTCTCCTTATATATCTTTGAATTCTCATAAGCCAGATGCCTAATCTCATCAAGCTCATTCAGCTGAATCAATCTCCTTTCTCCTGCTGTCTTTAGGTTGAAGTTCAACTCCTTAATAGCCCAAGCTGCTTTGTACTCAAGCTCCACTGGTAAATGACATGCTTTACCATAAACAAGATGAAAGGGGGTGGTACCAAGTGGTGTTTTGAAAGCAGTGCGATATGCCCATAGAGCATCATCAAGTTTGGCACTCCAATCCTTTCTTGTTTTGCCTGTTGTCTTCTGAAGTATGCTCTTGAGCTCTCTGTTTGAGATCTCAACTTGTCCACTAGTTTGGGGGTGGTAAGGAGAGGCAACTTTGTGAGTAACTCCATGCTTCTTCAAAAGGTTGGCAAATATTCTGTTTATGAAATGTGAACCTCCATAAAGGGGTAGTGATCCTTGCGCGTGGAAGAGTTCAGCTTCCTGTAGTCGACACACATTATGTGTCCAGTGATTGTCCTTGTTGGAATGAGCTCATCATGTTCATTCTTGATGACTGTGATCCCTCCTTTCTTTGGCACAACATGTACAGGGCTGACCCATGCACTATCTGATATTGGATAAATCACTCCAGCCTTTAGCAGCTTCATTATCTCCTTCTTGACAACTTCCTTTAGGTTGGGTTTAGCCTCCTTTGGTTTCAATTGAAGAACTAGACTCATCCTCCAGGATGATGCGATGTGTGCATAGCTCAGGTGAGATTCCTGTTAAATCATCCAAAGAATAACCAAGAGCCTTTCTATGCTTTCTCAGTTCGCGAACAAGTAAAGCGGTCTCTTCTTTTGTTAGTGCAGCATTAACAATAACAGGATATGTTTCATTAGGACCAAGATATTCATACCTTAGACCAACTGGGAGTTGTTTTAGCTCGGCTTTTGGACTCTAAGTGGGCACCATGGGTCGAACTTAACTTTGGTTTGTGATATTTCCCAACTCTTGTCAATATCTGGCTCTTCCTCTTCTCTCTCTAAGTCCATATAAGCTATCAGCTCTTTATAAGCTTCCTTTGAATCCATGAACTTGACTAAGCACTGAGCTTCTCTTTCCATGTATCCATACTCATTCTCAGCCTTTGTCAAAGCTAGCTCCAAGGGATCAATAAGAAGTAGTTCATCCAGCACTTCTTCTCTTGTCTCTGCGAGCTCTCCAATCCAAAAAGCTTGACCATCTACAGTTGGTTTCTCCATAGACTTGTTTACTTCGAAATTCATCACTATATCTCCAAGATGCAAGTCAATCTTTCCATTCTTGACATCTATTATAGCTCCTGCAGTAGCTAGGAATGGCCTTCCCAAGATAAGAGGGTCTTTAGGTTGGTGTTCCAGCTCAAGAACTACAAAATCAGCAGGGATGTAGCAATCTCCAACCATGATTGGAACATCCATAATAACACCAACAGGGCGGCGAACAGATCTGTCTGCAAAGACTAGAGAGATCTTTGTAGGTTTGAAGTCAGTGATGCCCAATAGCTTGGCCACTGAGTAAGGCATTAGGTTCACACTAGAACCCAAATCACAAAGTGCTCTATGGAAGTGTGTAGAACCGATCTTGCAAGACAAAACAAAACTCCCTGGGTCGTTCAGCTTCTCTGGCATGCGATTCTGAAGTATGGCACTACACTCCTTTGTAATCATCATTGCTCCTTCTTCAAGACTCACATTGAGTAAGAGTGGAACCATCAATGAAAGGCTTACTGAAAGTTGGCTAACAAGATCCTTGAGCTTTGCTTGCTCCTTCTCCTTCTTGGGTTGAGAAAGAACATTTCTGTATGGGATCTTTGGCTCATACACTCTTGGTTCTTCAGGTGGCTTCTCCACTTCCTCCTGAGTTCCTGGTTCTATTCTGACATGGACTTCCTTAGGTGGTTCAGTCCCATCTCCAATGATAACATACTCCATTGGTTTCTTCTTGATTGGCGGTTTTGCTTCCTCTTGATCTGGGTATGCTGGTGGTTCATACCCTTTTCCATTCCTAAGAGTGATAGCTGCTACAGCTGCTCTCCTTGGATTGATTTCCACTTTTCCTGGTAGCACACCTTCTTCTCTCTTAATAGAGCTGGCTATGTTGGCAACTCTAAGATCCAAGTCTCTTGTGAAAGAAGAAATAGAATCCAACTTCTCATTTAATCTAGTGAAGGCTGACTCCAATCTCTCATCAATCAAGGCTGTATGCTCTCTATGAGAACTCTTGATGAAAGTTATCAAATCTTCAAAATTGCTCCTTGGCTCCATTCTTCTCTTGTGAGGTGGTTGCTGATAATTTCTTCCTCTATGAACATCCCTCTTCTCATTGGGTGATTCTTGAGTAAAAACATCATGCTCTCCCTTTCCAAGCTTCTTCTCTATGTGCTGATCCATCTATTCCAACAAAGTTTACTTCTTCTTGGAAACTTGGAATCAAATCTCCAAAGTAATCTTGAATTATTGTGGATTCAACTCTATAAGCTTCTCTTTGTCTCTCCACTTCTCTTCCTTGGTTTCTCAGTATCTCAGCCATCATGGCTTTGATTTCGCTGTATCCATCTCTGTATGGATCAGAATTTATGGCCTTCACTGCTCTCTCATGACCAATGAAGTTGTCACTGTCGCTTGAGGCTAGATTTTCAATCAAAATCTTTGCTTCAGTAACTGTCTTGGTCATGAAATTTCCATTGCTGGCTGTATCAAGAGAAAATCTACACTTCCCACTTATTCCTCTGTAGAAAATGTTCCATAGACTGCCCTCAGATAGCCATGGTTAGGACACTCTCTTGTATAGTCCTTGAAATGCTCCAATGCTTCATGAAAAGGCTCCACCGGCCCTTGTTGGAAACTAGAGATCTTTTCTCTCAACAAGTTTGCTCTCTGCTTTGTGAAAAAGTGACCTAGGAATGCCACCTTGTACTCTTTCCATGTGGTTATGGATTGAGCTGGAAGAGACTTAACCCAGCGCAAAGCCTTCCCTGTCAAAGTGAAAGAGAATAGTTTGCACTTTAAGTACTCTTTGGGTGCACCTCCTGCACTGATGGTGCCACAGATTTCTTCAAAAGCATCAATATGTTCCAAAGGATTCTCTGCGGTTTTCCTTGGAACTGATTTTGTTTCACCAAACCAATGATCTCCGGTGAAATCTCATAGCTTCTTCCTTCAGGAAGTGGCGGCTGGATGGGATTCCGATCGATAGTAGTGTTGGATTGGAATCGAAGTCTCCCATGACTTCTTCATTGTGTCACGCCCCATCATTTGGCGCGATTGTGCGCGGCGTGTGGATCCGGCGGATCTCATGCTGCTCGGCCAGCGCGATCTCTCTCGCGGCCAAGTTCTCTCTATCCTCTTGGTCGTCTGATTCACTCATGTTAGAGTTCCTCTTTCAAACTTACCTGAAAGGATAGAGGCAAGATTCTTTAAATAGAAAACAAAAGTTGAAAAGTTTGCAAAAATAAAAAGGAAAAACGAAATTCTAGGCTAGACTATAGTTGGGAACTCGAAGGTAGCTGTATTGCTCCCCGGCAACGGCGCCAAAAACTTGATCGCGGGATCAGGTCTTCCCTTTTCCTATCCCTGATTCTGCAAGTGCACAGATCAAAAGTAGTAAACGGGTATCGAACACAAGGAGCAGATAAGTACACTTCGAATTGCAAGTCTAATATAGCTAGAAAACAAGTATGATTTAGGGTTTTTGATTGTGTAACAAGTAAATCAAACAGCAGATTAAACGGTTTATGAAAATCAATAAAGGGAAACGCTAGGCAATGAGAAACTCGCAGAGATTCAAGGTCAACAAGATATTAGAAGGTTGCTAGGGTTTGCGCTATCTAGAACTCAGGTCACGATTGTATGATCTTTCCACTGTCGAGGCTCCGACCCCTTTGTTAATCTACCTAGTCGCTAAACTTTTGGTATGTCCCTAGGTGATTAAATCAAGCAATAGTTCGTTCAAGACCCAATTGTTCACAACCCCGCATAGATCAACTTTCGCAGTCTATGAAGTTTTGCTCACCAAATACTTAGTTCAGGTTATATAGCAAGCTTTTGGAGAGTATATGAAACCTAAGATCTGATGCTAGTTGATCAGAAAAGCAAGCAGCAATGAATTCAAGCAGAGGCGAAGATGCGATATGATAAACCCTAGTGACTTCTAACAACCTATCAAACCATGAACTCTTTGATAGATCTCACAACCTAACTAGTGAATTACTCAGACATAATCAAAGCAAAAACACAAGAGATGAAGAAAACATGATTGCAATAAAACTCAAAGTATGAAATTGTAATACAAGGCGGCTCGGCTCTCTTTCACAAGAGGCTAAAAATCTATATATATAGTGCTAGGTCTTCTAGAGGCGGCTTAGGGTTAAGCCGGGCTTGAAAATATGAAATTGGGCTTCAAAAAGGGCTTCGGGTCGACCGCGGCGTTGGGACGGTCGTGCGGGACGATCGGCCGGACAATCGGGTCGTGGCGAGTCGGAACGGTCAGCGGGTCGGGGATGCGGATGTCGGCCGGCTGTGGTCGGGCGGAGATGATTTGGCCGATGGTTCTCGGCCGGACGTGGGACGTTCTTTCCCGGCTCGGACGGATGCATCGGCGTGGTACGCGGAACGGTTGCGCGGCCGCGAGGCCTTGTTCCCCGGCTCGCGCGGCATGGTCGTGCGCGTCGCGGCGTGGAGCTTTGGAGCTTGGCCGACCGCGGGACAATGTTTCCCGGGTCGTGTTGCGTGATCGGCCGGTCGGTTTGGAACTTTGGCCGAGACTTCAGACGGACGGATATGATTTGGCCGAGCGCGGAAACATAGTTTCTCGGCCAGCCGGACTGCGCGGTTGGGCGCTGATTCTTCGATAGAGCCGTCTGGACAGTCTCCACTCTTTTGGTTGTAACTCCTTTTCTACTCATCCAAATTAGGCCGTTCCAGTTGCGTTGGAAAGTTAACTCAATCAGAGCACGCAGGGAACTGGTCTTGATGAAATCCATTGAGTAGATCTTTTTCTGGGCCCTCTTAAAGTTGGTGCTTGTGCATGGAGCGGCTTGAAGTGCAAATCCTATGGTTTTGCTCCAAAATGCATCATTTCACCTGTTTAGACTCTAGACACTATAAACACAGTAAAACTACCTTTTTAGATAGAAAACCTGCCAAAAACCATTAGAAAACAATGCTAAAACAGTATAAAAAGTGGGTAAATTAGAGGTATATCAACATGTATGCCAACCCCCTTGACAAGAGTATTAAGATTGATTAAGGTGAGGTTAACTCTAGATTGCTTGGTTACCTTAGAAATTTTGCTGAGCTAGCATGTCGATCCACTGTAAGAGCTTCTGTTAGGCTTGTGCCTTTAGCTGGTTTCTGCTCTAGGGTCATGGATTGTTAGCATAACACTCTCAATTCTCAAAGCAAGTTCATAACTTCCGGACTGGTTTTTGACTCAATAAAACTTTTTGAAAAACATGAAACAAAGTGAATAAAACATAAGAAAAGAAAGAAAAATGCATTAGTAACACAATAAAACTCCCCCCAGACTTAACTTGCACCGTCCCGGTGAAAGCAAATCACATTAAGGTGAGAGGTAATATTCAAAGTAAAAGAAAAATAAAGAAAAATTCATTAAAATGAGATAGGGATAGAAAATGGAGATTTGTAAGTGTCCATTGCACTAAGTACCACTTGAGATGACTATGTGTGGCAGTGAGAAGAACTCTCTTCCTCATCTATGGGGTCATCGCCTTCTGAACCAAGCTCTGAGTCTAGTGAGAACTCACCAAGGTCAGGCTCATATGGCTCTCTAGCGGTGGAAGAAGGGCGAAAGAGTCTCTCCGGTGCAATGTGGCGAACTACACGATAGGCGTGAGATGAAGCGAGATTGGCATTCCACGATCTTCTCCAGCTTGTTAACACGGTCTAGAGCTTGATGCGCGGCCATGCCAGTAGTGAGAACATGGCGTTCTTGGTGGCGGCGTTGAGTCTTGACTGCATGCTGAAGTGTGCGATAGGTGAGCATGGGGAATGATGGTTTCTCACTTGATGGAACATAGAAGTCTTCCTCATTGGGCTGGAAAGTGACAACTCCTGAGCGTAGGCTTGGGATGTCTTCATGTGGCAGCAAGACAAGGGAAGTGTTGGCTGGACCAATTGGAAACTCATAGCAAAACCGAGTTGGGTCTTTAGTCCAACGGTTTAGGAAGTGGATGTGCTGAAGAGCATGGAGATCCAAAGGGGTTGGCTTGGGTAGTGGCTCATAGTTGGGAATGTCAATCCCCACATGTGTACTATGGCCGTGATAAGCCTCCCAAAACGAACACAAAGCTTCTTGTTGCCTTCCAAGTCTTGAGCTAGCTTCCTCACATTGATGAATGTCTTGGCAAGTAAAAGTCCAAGGTTGGCCTTGTACTCATGCTTGATGAATGGTGTGGTGAGGATGTAGAACTCATCAGTTGTGACCTTGTTGGCTTCTTGTTTGCATTGGAAAGTGGTGGAGATGAGGCGGTGCACATAGCGAATGGCTGGATGAGTGATTCTAGACACCTTTGATCTTGAAGGCAAGAATGGTTCATTGGCAAAGTGTGTCCAATCAGCAAAGGCAGCTTGTTTCCTCTTTGAGTTCTCCTTGAAGTCATGTGCTGTCTCATTGGGAAGTCCAAAGAGTTGGCATAGAGCTGAGATGGAGATGCGCCCATTGGCATCGCCTATCTTGAAGAGTAGGAGTCCATCACCAGCTGGTTGGTCTCCATTGTGGTTGGGAAAGGCAAGAGCTACTGTGGAGAGGAACTCCTTGGTGAGTTGTGAGTACTCACTACATCTAGCTTGAAGAGCTTGCTCAAGCCTAGCTTCCTTATGTACCATGTGACATCATCTCTTATCTTGAGAAGGTCAAGGGTTTGGGTGTCCATCTTCACACAAGGTTCATGTTCACCTTCTCCATTGCCTTCTTGCACTTTCTTGGGTCTTGGATTTGTTCTCCAACAAAGCTTACAAGTGCCCAATCATCTTCTCCTTCTTGGACTCTCCACATGTTCTTGACTTGCATCAATGGAATGTGGTGAAGTTGGTATTGCTGCTCTTGCATTGGAGCTACTACTCCCTAGCTTGATTTGTTTCTTTGGTGGTTCCATGAATGGGTTCTTCTTCTTCTTCATACTCTCATTTCCTTTTGTCTTTGCCATTGGGTACCTACAAGAGCAAATTCTTGGGAAGAAATATGAGTTTGTGATTAATGCAAAAGAAGAATAAGCTAATTGAGTTG